CCATATCCCTATACAAACAAATTCATTTAAAAGACCAACAACGCAACCATGTTACTTGAATACATAAATCCATAAATGATTAACTCACGCCAATTTCAAGTTGAAGTTTACACACAGAGTAACAACAACAAAAGAATAATTATAACAACTCATCACTTGACCTTCTGTTACAACTGCACTACGCACCTATTGTTTGTTAAATTTCAAATTGTAATTATAATGTGGATAAATTAAATGTACCGTCTTTCAACATATTTAGTTCCTAATATAATGTTATCGAATTTATTCGGATTATAGATAGGTTTATCAAGTTTTATCTAAGTGTAATGATCTGAATGGTTGATTTTTCATTCATATATTAGTGGTTGTGTCATGAAAGTGCGTGTTTTGTACTGTTTTAGTGATGGAAACTGAAAAGTTCCATGTGTTATTTACTCAGTGGGAGAATATTAGTAAAGCTTTTATAATAAGGTATGTTTGCATACTGAAAATGCTTGTTTTTGTTAAAATGGGGCTTACAGTCAGGGAATATTTAATACTTTGTTGTCGATAATTGGTTGCTATAGTTATTTATTGATGAATGGAATTTGTACTTCATTGTGATTGTACTTAATATCAGTAATATGAAATTGTGCTAGTACTTATTAGTGCCCTGTACAAACAATCCTAAAATACATAATTATGGTATAATTGATCAATTGTATCGTTGTCTTAGTGGCCCCAGGCGTGAGTATGCGGCTTTAGATTCGATAACCAAATAGCAACTATATACTGAGAATGTAATAGGAAATCGGCACAAAAACAATACTTAAATTAAAAAAAAAAATTACGAGAATTTTCTATTATATTCAAACGAGATTACATACAATTCATTGACGTCATAATTTTGACGTCTACAATCTACTAAGCCTTTTTGTGAGTCATAAATGAGCTTGAATTTAAATTGAAATCAGTTAATGAAATCGTCATTGTTCTCCTAATCATATTATTGTATTATATTTACAAGTGACGGCCAGGTTCAGACTTTCTCTCGATTTTTTTTATAAATTATTTGATTTATGTAAGTCTTAATCACAATCGTATACATCTTATGTCTAACAAACTGCATTAAAGTTGGCTTAAGTAGTGGTTTAATGAGAACACTTAACCGACTGCCTTATAGACAGAACTAATGTTCTCAGCGACGGAGCATAAGAGTATCCTTATGCTCCGTCGCTGAGAACCTAACTAGTTACCGGGGCTCCGGCTCGACGTGCAGGAGAAGGAACGGGGTGGTTTTTAGTCAGTAAGAGTCTGACACTCCCTCACGCCTCACCCAGGCGGGAGCAGAAATTCGACGATTTTTCCCCATTAAAAAAATCCTTATGCCTTGTTCGCACTATGCTAATATTTTAGAGTATTTAGTAACAATCTCTCGCCCCGATTTTTCGACAGAAGCGAGAGGAATATACTAAACACTCACTGCTCGACTAAAATACTAGCATAGTGCGAACAAGGCTTTCAGCAGAATGAGCAGAGGATAGAAGATATTGATATTTGATATTAGAGAGTAAACTGTGTAATAATATCGAACTTCAAAATACATACATAACATCACGCCTTTTATCCCCGAAGGGGTAGGCAGAGGTGCACAGAGAAGTAACACCCACTTTTCACTATTTATGTTATGAGTTCCATGTAATAGGGGGTGAGCCTATTGCCATATACCGGGCACATTTCCAGACACCGTGCTACTATTGAGATTTTTAAAAAAAATCCAGTAATACTTTGCCCGACCCGGGAATCGAACCCGAGACCCCTTGCCCGGTAGGCGCACTTGCAACCACTCGGCCAACGAGGCAGTTAAAATATACAAATACAAGTATATAGGTACACATATCACATAGCAGGTACCAACATGTTTTCTTTTTCCATCAACAGTTTCCCGCATAGTACATACATACGTTTGATAAGCGTATCTTGGTAACAAATCGCCGCCTTATCACTGGCTAACAATTAACTGAATTAACAGCCGTAGGCCTGACGCAACAATCTATTGGTGTACGACTACTACAATGATTACACTACTTTTGTAGTTTCTATTACTAGGTTAGCTATAGTTACGTGAATAGAATGAGATGCGTAGATGGCCTACGTATAGTATACTTTTCTTTCTCGTCTCAGATCTCAATTACTCACTTCTGAAAGTTTAAGTAGTATGAATCAAAAGTGTGGGAGAGCCATGCTTAAGCACGAATGGGCCGGCTGCCCCGGAGTGATACCACGGCCTCACAGAAAACCGCCGTGAAAGAATGGTTGCGTTGTGTTTCGTCGAGTGAGAACCTCTCCCTTCCCAAATCTCCCCATGAAGCTGAATCCCCATCAATCCCCAACAATCATCAAACTCCTAACCCTCAAAAGACCGGTAACGCACTTGTAACGCCTCCGGTGTTCCGGGTGTCCATGAGCGACGCCGATGGCTTACCATCAGATGATCCATCTGCTCGTTTACCGCCTTATCTCATAAAAAGGTTAGAAATGTTCTGTGCTTAAGATTTTCTTATTGGCAAAGAAAATATGTATATGATATGATACCCCAATCCTCTATGGAAAACACATAACGTAACATCACGCCTTTTAATCCCGAGGTGCACATTACGGCACTTAATGCCACTATACAATGTAACACCCAGTTTTCACTATTTATGTTATGAGTCTCATGTAATAGGGGGTAAGACTATTGCCATATACCGTTCACAATTCCAAACTCCGTGCTACTACTGAGAATTTTTTTAAAACCCAGTAATACTTTGCCCGACACGGGAATCGAACCCGAGACCCCTTGCCCGGCAGTCGCACTTGCGACCACTCGGACAACGAGGCAGAGAGCAAAATAATGTTTACTTACATTTAGAAACAAACAATTCTAAAAAATGACTTCCATGTTTCTTTTAGTCACCAAACCGGTTAATTTGAATGATATCATTTACCTCTAGAGTGGACAATAACAGAATTACACTTTTTTGTGTAGGTACTAGTAAACGTTATTTCGGGTGAATGCTACAGTATACTATCTAAGTAGTGACTGGTAAGTACTGTCAAAATGTCGCAACTGGCAGTTTTTTACAGTATGTCGCAAGCAACGAACCGTGAATGGTTTGGTGCCCGATCGGACAATATTATTTTGTGCTGTTAGCTGTTAGCTTCGAAAATGTGTTTCGTGAATTTAATTTCAGTTATTGAAAGATGTGAGTTTGTGTTTGTATTTGTTTTTTTAAGTGTAATTGGCTTGTGTGAAAGGTTTGCAATGAAATGTGCCATTGTAGTATTGTCACTTTTAAAGTAGTTAAAGTGTGTGTGTGTGTGTGTGTGTGTGTGTGATGTCTTACGTCTTCTCACGTATTTATTAAAGGTTTTGTAGTAAATTATTGCCATTGTATACCCAAAAATATTTTATTTTATTACATTAACTCCAAAATTACGTCTATACAAAAATTTTTGTTGAATCCGACGGCACTGTCCTCGAAGGGCCGGTACCGAAGCAGCACCACCTTTAAACAATACCACAAGTTAATTCGATTTTTTATTGAATATGAACTTTTTTTAAAAATATTTGTAAGTTGGTAAATAAGTGTTCATTACTAAATGATTTAGAATTTAACGTATAAATATTAATTTACGTTTAAATATAATTTGTAATATGTAATTGCATTGTGAAATCTTTTCCTACGTTTTTTATGTTGCTCAAATGTTTCCTATGTTTTTTTATGTTAACAAGCAGAGTCTGGATCGTATTCGATATGTGGCAATGGTTCGTTCGCTAAAGTGTGAAAGGGTGGATAGAGGTTTATATTGTGCAACTCTGTCGATCCCTTCTAGAAATAATGGCGTGGTCGTGATAAAATGATTTTGTTTGTTACAAGTATACGATGTTAAGCTGCCACTATTAACGAATTAATGTTAATTTACTAAGAACTGACCAATATCAAAATTCTAAAAGTAATATTACACATTAACAATTTTTGTTAAGTGAATTCAATGATATCTATTTACTGCTATTGGTAATTAACTTCTTACTTAGAATCACAAAGTAATACTTCTTGTTTAATTACGGGCATGATCACAAAATTTGAAACTTACAGCTGGTTTTAAAATTGACCCAAAACACATTTCTCACGATACCACTTCCAAACGATCTGACAATACCTACACACTTGCCAACACAAAACTAACTTTAAGCACACAAGATAAAGTATATTTCACGAAAATCCAATGCACTCAACGATATATCAATGCGTGACGGGGTTTTCTATTGAAAAAAAAATGCCACAATAGTGCTGATAATTAGGGTATACTAATTACTCACAATAAATAATATTACCTACGTTAGTTATCTAGATAATTTTAAAATAGGACAAAAATAAAAAGTAACCAATTAATGAACTGAAAACAAAACTATAGTATTGTGGTACTCACCAATTATTCCCAGGCATCGTGGTGTTCCAACTTCAACTAGTAACTGAATGAACGGAGTTGGTAATAGTATGAACCGATTATGAATAAACAATTTTTAAGATTAACGATATACGGATCTAGTGTCAAATATCAAAATATCGGCGCCCGCTTTGCTTAACAGAGCTTTACACAACTTATAAACAAAAAGGTAAGTTCCTTTTTGTTTACACGTTGTATAAAGCACTGTTAAACAAAGCGGGCTATTGTAACTGCTATTCAAGGGCCGTAGTAAAACACAATCATTCATTTGTATTCGTTTATTAGGTAACTCTTAAAAACAAAGTCGGTGCCATAAGCTCAAATCAAAATGAATCAACTACAAACTACAAAGAAAAAAACATAACCTAACATCACGCCTTTTATCCCCGAAGAGATAGACAAAAAGAAAAAACGCAATTAAAAATCAAGATTCGTAATCGACTTTAGCATACTAATTCTTTATCATACTTTTTTCATATACTTAATCGTAAACGTATAAAAACATAAAATTTTAACAGGACATTTTATTACGACTTAAGTTTTACGAAACCGAAGTAGCTGTACCCTGGTCGGAGCAATACAGTTCTGTTCGGTTCTCTTTGAGCAATGTTGACTATGTCTTCTTTGTAAAGCCTCGCAACAGTTTGCAAGGAACAAGACATTTCTGATTTACTGAGCGGTCGGTTGCTAGAGTCGTCTCCAGTTGCACAAGTCGAAAGCAGACGGGGATGCTTCCCCGTTTGACGCGCCCATATGTAGTAGCAGGTCGGTGATCGTGTTAGGTATACCACCTGTAAAAAGTAAATAGGAGACTTAATTATGTTTTACTAACTTACGAAAAGGCAGGCAGGCTAACCATTTGAAAGAAAAAGATATGAATGCACTTTCATACAAATGATTATACAAATTTCCTTATCAATAAGTCCTATAACTACATTAGGTAATATCGGTTACAAACCTGAGCATAAATTAAATAAAGCCCGTCTTCTTTGACCGTGACATAATCGCCTGTCAACTCGAACTTGTTCGCGCTATATTTCGAAGACGCCTCTTCATCCCGAATCCAGGGACCCATGAGTGCTGTGGAACAAGAAATTGAGGATAAGTTTAAATGATACATTATACTTTATAATCACATGGAGAATTATTTCACAATTATGTGGCCGTTGCCGCGTTGCCTAGCCAAAATACACACTTCTACACTAGCTACCTCAGCGGGGTTTCACCCGCTCTGCTCGGCGCCTATTGTTTGTAGCGCGATATTTTATTGCATTTCGTCGATAAATAGACAAACCAGCACAAAAAGATTTTTCAAATTAAAGAGATTGTCAAACAAATTCTTCAGCTTTATATACTAAATATAAGATAAAAGTATTATTGGGTTATTTGTTTCTAGTTTTTATATATAGCAATAGTTATATAAAAATGGAAAGAAAAGATTACAACCGAGTTATCATTATTTGACCTATAACTAATAAAGGTTAGCGTTTGCTTAGAAACTAATAATAATAAAATTTTAGGTAATACTCACATTGGTTTCCCAAATTAACTTCTTTCTGACCACCGCCGTTAAATTGAACCACATCCAATTCTGTAATTAATAAAATTAAATGTTATTCTCATGCATATGACTAACACACATAATTCTTTTTAACTTTTTAAATAGGTAGGTTTTATTTTTAATTTAATAAAAATAATTTATTTATATGAATTAGAATTTGTGGATATTAACCTTTTTGTAGGGTGTTCCAGTCACAAACAGAAACATTGCCTTTGCTTGAATCTTTTTTCTTAGTGTCTACCACGTCGTTTTTCACATCTTTGAAATATAATGTCTTAGCAGTTTCATTGACGTCAAAGGCTTTCGGCGCCCACGTGTCTCCCTCGGCTGGTGGCCTTGGGCCGGCCACCGATGCATTCTGTAGCCATCTCTCGTGGTTCACATTGAGTGAGACAATGTTATCACTTATCACGATTAGTTGTCTCTTCATCCATACCATTTCGTACCAATAGTGGAACGCTATAGAACAACTTAATAGCATAAAAATAACGCCCATCAAAAAATTCATCACCACCAAAATCCTCATTTTCTTGCCAAACGTCCATGACTCTTTCTCTGTAATCAATAAAATACCACGTTATATAATTGTAATTACGTGCCTAATATTTTATTAATTTTATTTATTTAAATTTTATAAATATAATCTTTCGGGTAAGTTAACTTTTGTATTTTTGACATTATTCAGAAATATGTTACGCACCTGGTGAGTTCCTGAGTACACCTTCGCTGGAGTGGATTTCCCGTTCGCGATCCATTATGATTATTACTATTCGGACGTAAGCAGTACGTGTTGTCTTATCTTTATAATAATTCCTAAATAATTCTTATTATTATAATTCCTCACTAGAGAATACACTTGCACTATAAAAACAAAAGGTAAAAGTAAACGCAAAACACAACGCAACTTCTTTTGGCAAAGGCTCGCACGTCGCTAGCTGTCCGAATCCGAATTTGAAATAGATAATTCCAAGATTAGTGTCAACCATCTTCAAAATATCGCCGCCAGCTTTGTTTAATATAACGTATAAACAAAAAGGTATACTCATATTCCAGGGCCGTAGCCAAAAACAATCGGTCTGTTTCTCTTTGTTTAACTGACATCGCTAAAAAGGCAATTAAGCTGTGAGGTGTCATCATAATATAAAACCTCGTCACTATAATAAAATAGTACAAAATGTATGATACCTAATGCCTACAATAAAGTGCGCGATGTAACGAAATTATCTCAGTGCGCAAGAGCGAGAGTAACGGGTTTAGCTTTGCACGTATGGATACATGATATTATTTACAATAAAACAAATTCGTTTAATAGGTGCGTCAGAACAATCGTTCCATTGTATAACACAAAGACAAGGCTTTTCGTTTATTAAACTAAGTACTAGCATGATAGATGATTTCATAACCCAATACCTCTTTAATAGTTGTTATAGTTTCTTAGTATTTTAAAATAATAATTAGAAACATGACACAAAAACGCCGCAAGAAAAAACATTACCCATTTTTTTTTTGTTATACAACAAAAAAGTACCAAGCTGAGTTACTACAATTCTATTGGTGGACGAAACCAGGTAGCCAAGAGTGGGCGTCAGTCACTGCACAGAACATTCATCCTAAATTTGGGTACCGATTAAAATCGTCGATAGTACCTAAGTTTAAAATCTAGACGTTTCATCAATAAAATATATTTTTAACAAATAGTTTAGGTTAACAGTTAATTTATCGATTTAGAATGTTTTAACTCGACCTTAGTTTTAGTTGGAACTGAGTAATTAAACAAAATTAATTGGACAATAAAATTGTTCTGTATACACGCGTGCGTTCCAAATAAATAACAAACATTTGAAGGCCTATACTTACCCCGCTAACACAGCGGAATTTTTTGGATAATATAGTTTATGAACATATACGCATTCTTCTACATAGCGAACTATGGTTTAAATTCAACAAAAACCGCTGAGCGATTTAGACGTAAAAAGAAAGTCTCTCACTTCGCTAGCTTCGGAAATCAGCTTCGCCCGCAATACTAGGATAAAAAGCAGTGTTATTTTAGATTAGTAATCTATTTCTATTTTCAGTTTATTATTAAGCTTGATTGGGTCAAACATTCACCTACTATAAAACAAAGTTCACCAATCACCATCCTGTCTGTCTTTTCGCGATAAACTCAAAAACTACCGAACCAATATTCATGCAGTTTTCACCAGTGGATGTAGTGGTTATTTAGAAAGAACTGCGTGTGTTATTAATGAAGATTTTAGTGCAGCAGGAACATAGTAATCAAAGTGTCAACGTATAAAGATAACATGTCTTAATTAATTAAAAAATTACACGTGAATATCAAACAGTGGCATCAACTATCTAAACGTTTATCATAAACAAATATGTAACCGTTATTTAATAACAGTTGTCTTGGTGTAACGTGTTACAACACTTATTTATAGATTTAGTATAATTTACTATATTTTCTAACGTTATTTAAATAGTTTTTTGGTAACTCGAAACATTTTGTGTTCATGTGTGGTTAATAAGTATAAATGGATGATGGGAATCATGCCTAAACCATGGACGAGGTACTTATATACCATTTTTTGTTTAAAAACGTAGTCATTGGGTTTCTCAATTTTCATCATCATCTGCGCATATCAATCAAAAGGTGTCTATTGCCGAACATAAAGATAAACATTTGCATAAACATGTGTACTTTGTTTAATATCCTAGGCCCTCACCAATCAATGACTAATCAGTTAGTTTATTAGGTACTTATCATTTTTATCAATCCTCAGTGTTTATGATATCCTCAATTTTTTTAAGTCAGTTAATATAATAAGTATGTATATGTATGCGTCATTCCCTAATTAAAATTGTAATCAAGCTAAGTGAATTTTATGATTCTGTCCTCGCCATGTCCCCTTTCCGAAAAGGTCAATGTTTCCCCAAATATTAGTTTGGTGTACAAATATTTGCCACTAAATGTTTGTCAGTTTGTTTATTTGGTAGAGTACCCTTTTATTTGATAGACATATTGGTTGCATGTAGGTTGTGCAACACGAAATGGAATATAATAATTTTGTTTTTGTCTATTACAATCTAGAAATGGTAGAAATGTACGTTCAAGTTTAGGAGTAAAAGTTGAATGATTAAATAATCAAATAAAGTTTGTCATTAGCTACAGAAAAAGTTATATAACAGTGATAGTAACGAACCAATACTGCAGTATTAACACATAGAAAACACAATGTATTTAAAAAAGTACACCCGGCCCTAGCATCGCTAGTGTGTACTGAAAATTATTAAACTTGTAAGTAATAAAATACTGGTGCGTTACAGGAGCGTGTCCCGGTCGCCCTCCCCCTCCCCTTCAACCCGGGACTCCCGGAACACAGACAGTGCCAGCGAAGCCCTCGACAATGACAAGGTATGTGTACCGCCCTGACATGATGATAGGACTATCAAATTTTATTGCTATGACTTACAGACTACGTAGGCTGGTTAGTTCTGAATTGATAGAATTCGGTCGCAAATTCAGTTTCATTGATAAGTTTTTCATTATCACATAAGTATAAAATGAACGCCATAATGTGTCGTAATTGTTGTCGAAGTTTCTAGTCAACTAGAAAACAGAATATAAAAGGCATGCCTAAGTTTTAAAATTTAAATCAGATCACACTAGAATTATAGTCCATCTGTTTAGGTAATTAACTAAAGGTAAACAAAGAAAACCACGTGACACAGAGATACTTAACCTACTATTACTTCAAATATTTCTCGTGTTTTAATTTTAACTAAATTCACTTTAAAATCGTTCATTTGTCATACACACACATACAAGTACAAATGCCTAAATCGTACAAGAGCCTAGCCTATGGGTCTATTTCATTATCATGTTTAAATAGAAACTATTCTGATATTGAACACATTAATTACAAACGATGATTAACCTAAACTTAAATAACTTAATAACAAAAACAAAACAAAGAAACAAGTTAACCTTTTGAACGCCAGAGCAAAAACACATGAACCTGCCCTCAACGCCAAGCCACAAATTCCGCGCAAATTTCTACGGAAGAAATAGGGATTCCAATAGGGAATCAAATTGTTGATTTCGTGTTTCCGGTTCCGCTTTTTCTGTCATGTATTTGTGTCGTTGGCGTCCAGGGACAGTTTTCACTTGTCACTTATATGTGACATCGGCGCTCGAAAGGTTAAATTCAACAAAATAGGAACGCGAGCGCAAACGACGAGAGAGCTGTCAATGGCGCCTGATTAACCGACTAAACGTAATAGACGCTACTTTCATTGTCGCGCTACATCTTAGTTGTACTCTTTAATTTGACAAACAGATATATTTAATATTTATTAAGAAATAAGTGAAAAGGAACAGAAACATAACATTTAATAGAGAAAACTGTCGTAAAAAGGGAAACAATTTTATTTTCTTATGAAGTATTTTGAATCATGGAAATGTCAACTATAAAGAACTCTTTTTATGGTTTGTTTACAAATAGTTAACTACCTTAACAGACGGAGTATAGATATTTTTCATAAATCAACTGTTTAATGTCACTTTAAACCTTAATTTGGAGTGCAATAAGGTATAAATTCAGTCGTACAATAATATCAAAGCTCAATAATATCAATAGACAAGGAAGTACAACTAGCATTGAACGCAGCAGTGTTTGTGTTGCAGACGAGCGAGAGTTCGGTGCACATGCCGTCGCACGCGGGCGGCGACTCCGCCTCCATCTCCAGCGGCGAGCTCGCCGTCACCGTCGTCAGCGCCACGCCCACACAGAACAAGGACAACCCCAGGGTGAGACCCGACATCTGTACAGTAATATAACATTATACACGTCATCCCATGAAAGGTACTATAAAGTGTTTATTTAAGACCCATTTTATATTTTGTTAGAATCTAACTGTTTCGTTGACCGCATAGTCACTTTAAGTGTTAAATTCTCTGGCTCGATTTTTGGATAAAGCAAAAAAAAGTTTAGCATTTTCAGTTTTCTAAATATCGTCATAAATGTATTGAAAAGGCCTCATTTAAACAGAACGTATAACAAAATTGATGAGTAGTTCCTACATTAAACATAAATTATATATACTAAATTGCCTGCCCAAATTGTCCTCTATCCTCGTTATTGCCCTGTCCTGATTATCAATCCTAACACTTCATTGCCACCAAAATGAAATGCGGATTTCCAATACCCATTCCCACGTTACGGAGTCCCACCTTGTTATGTAAATAATTGATACTTATCCGTCAGCTGTCGAACGCTGCGAAGGCCGGGGACGGCAGCCGCACAAAGAAGAAGAGCTGGTACAACGCCCTCTATCCCACATACAAGAGCAAGTCCGATGACTTCAAGCGGCTGTTCAAGGACCTACCTGATGATGAGCGGCTTATAGTCGGTAAATAATCATACATTTTTTATTCACACAAAGTTAATTTTTGGTGGTCCATCTGTAAATACTATTTTGTCCGTGTCCTGGTGTATTTTTTATTTCATGTGCACAAAGAATACAGGCCTAGTGCAAGACATTTTGTTTGAAAGCAGAATAAATTTAGTGCTTTCATAAAACACTTAAAGTAGCGACATCTAGGGAGTCGAATAAGAATTTAACAATTACCTAAATTAGCTTTACGCTTCGCGTGAGTAACCTAACATTACATATACGTGGTGTGAAAGTTTGTTTGTTGAATTACTCTTCTGCCCCTAAGACGATTTAATTATTTTGATAAATTGCTCTATAGTAACTCTATAGGTACAAATGTTCCTGAAGACTATAATGTGCTTAGCGAAAATAAGACTCAAGTTTTATTATAGTAAGAAATCAATAAATACACCTATTTTTACCAAAAGGAAATCTGAGGACTGCCTCGTTGGCCGAGGGGTAGCACGTGCGACCGCCGAGCAAGGGTTCTCGGGTTTGATTCCCGGGTCGAGCAATGTATTACTGGGTTTATAAAAAATTCTCAGTAGTAGCACGGAGTCTGGAATTGTGCCCGGTATATGGCAATAGGCTCACTCCCTTTTACATGGGACTCATAACATAAATAGTGAAAAGTGGGTGTTACATTGTATAGGGGTGGGTATAATGTGCACCTCTCCTGGAAATCTGAGGGCTAATCCTAGCTAATATTATAATTCGGAAGTGCATATTATGTCTGTTTATTTGTTTGCTACCAGTTCACGCTTTATCAACATACTTAACCTTCAGATCAGGCAAAAACACGTGTAAAAGCTAGTTCTACTACTAAAATTAGCGTATAATGATTCAAACAAGACGTGCTAAAATGTATATTCTCGTGTTTCCCTGTAGACTATTCATGCGCACTGCAGAAGGACATCCTAGCGCACGGTCGTCTGTACGCGTCGCAGAACTACCTGTGCTTCTACGCCAGCATCTTTGGCTGGGAGACCACCATGACCACGCGGTGGAAGGACGTCACCGCCATCACTAAGGAGAAGACTGCGCTCGTGAGTTATTTTATAATACTGTCTCAATTCATTAATGGCCAAAATTAGTAACTGAAAAAGTGGATGGTTTTCATTTAAATAAATGATGGACAATGGACACTTTATATACTTAATTTATTGTAGAAACTTAGAAAACATATTTCGGCGCCATGCGATGATGCGATGCAAATACAAGGAATCAGAGAGAAAAAAAAACAGATTAATAAATGATATCCTGCACGGTTCCTTCCCAAGGAAAAACTAGATGGCGCTACTTGTATAGTTTAGATGTTTAAGATTATAAAATTTGCCTTATTACAACAGTAACATAACAGCACGCCTTTTAGTCCCGAAGGGGTAGGCAGAGGTGCACATTACGGCACTTAATGCCACTATACAATGTAACACCCACTTTTCACTATTTATGTTTTGAGTCCCATGTAATAGGGGGTGAGCCTATTGCCATATACACATGTCCAGACTCCGTGCTACTACTGAGATTTTTTAAAAACCTCGTAATACTTTGCCCGACCCGGGATTCGAACCCGAGACCCCTTGCCCGGCAGTCGCACTTGCGACCACTCGGCCAACGAGGCAGACAACAGTAACCAATCTCTTAATTGTATTTTGATTAAGTTCGATAGTTAATTTCGCCCTTGAGGCTGGTCGTGTCGCGTAATCTTGCCATAAGAGAAATATTACGCCATGTAAACTTTGTGAATACTGATCTAACGTTCAGTGTTCAATAACTAAGTAGTATACAGAAAAATCTAGCGTGGAGCGAAATGTAGATGTATTAGTCTCATTGTAACAAACAAGCTAGCCAAGTCTAAATGGGCTCGCTGCCATTGCAGCGGTAAGTCCCCTCTTTGAGGAGTGGCTTGAGAGACGCTACGGCGTCCTCACCTACCGCCTGACGCAGGTCCTCACCGGACATGGAAGTTTCGGGAGGTACCTGTGTCTGATGGGGCGGGAGGAAACGCCCGGGTGTCATCACTGCGAGGACCATCCTGAGGACATGGTGGAACACACTGTTGCGGAATGCCCTGCGTGGGCTGAGCGCCGCCGTGCCCTCAGGGAAGTGATCGGCGATGGCGACCTCTCGCGTCCGGGCCTAGTGCAGGCCATGATGCGGAGCGAGGGGGACTGGGATGCCGTCTCCTCCTTTTGCGAAGCAGTCATGCTGGCTAAGGAGGAGGCGGGACGCGTGAGGCAGCGAAGCGCTACCTCCTCGCAACCCAGCCATCGCGAAGGACACACCGGGCGTCGGGGATCGCGGGACGATCTCCGGCCACCGTAAGCGCGGGCCTGCGGACATAGAGCATGGGTGGCTCCCCGTCCGACCAGAAACAGACCCGAGCGTACGGCGCGTCGCGTTCCGCGCGCGCCTCAAAGAGCCATCAGACCACCACAGATGGGGCTCAATAGGGCCGATGCCGATTCGGAGTCGCAGAGAACCTAACGGGTAACCGGGGCTCCGGCTCGACGTGCAGGAGAAGGAACGGGGTGGTTTTTAGTCAGTAAGAGTCTGACACTCCCTTCCGCCTCACCCAGGCGGGAGCAGTCATTCGATGATTTTCCCCCCTTAAAAAAAAAAAAAAGCCAAGTCTAAAAAACAGTAAAGATATGAAACAACAAAATCCAACGGTTTTCTGTCAAGAGTGTAATAAAATTTCACAATATAATTTGTTCCCAGGTAATTCCCAACGCGATCCTAGTATGCACGGAGGGAGAGAAGAACTTCCTAACATCGTTCTCGGGGCGAGACAAGGCGTACCTCATGCTGTTCCGGATCTGGCAGAACGCGCTCATGGACCAACCCATGAGCAGCCAGGAGTTCTGGCAGTGGGTGAGTACGAGGACATAGAATCATTGCTACCAGCTTTAAAAGACACTAATCTTAAGTGTTTCTTCAACAAAATCTGCATACATATAAATGAAATTGGAGTGTCTGTTTGTAATATTCAAATAACCGCTTTTTAACACATGCATTTGAATATACATACGACACCTATGCCAAAATAAATCATAACATTTTTTTTAATTTTGTCTGTCTGTCTGTTTGTACTGGTTAATCTTTGAAATGGCTGGACTGATTTTGACGGGACTTTTACTGGCAAGTACCTGATGTACTAAGAAGTAACACAGGCTGTTTTTATTTTGGAAAATTAAAACAAAAGGAATGTTATGTTCTAAAACTCATATTCTACGCGGACGGAGTAGCTGGCAACAGCTAGTGTTAATAAAGTTAAAGCAATCATTATGCTCAAACCAAAGTTACCAATATAGTGTGGATTACTAGACAAGGCATGAAAAGAAACATTCAGTTAGTCCGTCAGTTAGGTAGCGTACAAATAGAAGACAAGTATTTTTTATTTTATCCAATCCAAATAAAAACATCTCCTTGGATAAAACAAATAATGTTGATCTGTTGATTAAAAATATGCAGTCCATATACCAAACTATTATTTTAAGTATGTATAGTAAGATTAACATTCCCGTTAGCAATACTACCGACGAATAATCAGTCCTAAAAAAACTAGAAAAACCATGTCTCCCCCTGCCCGATCCTCTATAGTATATTTAAATGTATTCGGAAAGCCGTGCCATATAATTCTAAATCATGCGCATTGCGGAACGAGCACAAATCAATATTTACCATTTAAAAGTAAAAAACAAGCTTAGCTTTGGCTATAACGTGTCTTAGTGTTGCCAGATACAAACATTTTATTATTGTTGTTTGTAATTCGGTGTTTGTTGACTTGTTATTGTTGTGAATAGAATTTGTCTTGTGCACTGTATGCGTAGTAAATATAAAAATAGATTTTTTGCGCCATGTCACATGTATCGTTTATAGATTCGATTTAAAAATATCCTTAATAAACTTTTATTCAAAATTATGAGATAATAAATAAAATACTATTTTTTTTAGGTAGCAACATCAGTTTATGCACAGATTAGAAATTCAAAACGATTCAAATATGTTCCGACCTGAATACTCTGTGTTAGCATTTAACAAATATTTCTCCTTTGTGTAAAGTATTTGTGTTACACATTTACATAATATTGTACCTGTGCTACTATTCGCCAGGGAAATCTGACTAGGTACTCAACTGCTCATGTATTTTTCGCACGTGTTCTTGCCTCGTGAGCCCGCGACCTTAGAGTTTTAGTTTCCAAGTCTTATGTTATACGCATTAGTCTAGCTTAATATTTCAGAAAATGAATACAAGTTCTAAATAAGAAGAACTTAAATTACACTGACAATACCTTTATTGATCTTGTACGTAATATAACGGATCAGATTGTAAAAGTCTTTTTTTTTATAAGAGTAATGATGGAGTTTCTTGCTCGTTCTTCTGCATTCGAAATTACAGTTTAAAACGAGCACCTAGCTTCACTGACAGGCAGGCTGACGGACAATTCTATTTTGATGTTTCAAAAGTGCTTGGTTTAATTGAAATAAAAACTTTGATCATAAAGAATTATGCGACTGTTCAAATAGGTGGCTCTCATTTCGTTTGTCTTCGTTTATGATGTAATACGTAAAAAAATTAATGTGGTCAATTATACACGACGGCATGGTTGACGCGGTGGCTTTGCAACCGTCTGCCGCGCAACGTGTCGCGGGTTCTATTCTCGCACGGAGTAACTCTTTGTGTGGTCCTCAAATTGTTGTTCCGGGTCTGGGTCTTAGTATGTGAACTTGTATGTTTGTAAACGCACCCACGGTACAGGAGAAAATCCTAGTGTGGGGCAACGTTTACAAAAAATACACATTCTACTGGTTATGAATATGAGTTACTAGTAGTTACTGGTATAATAAATCAACCTCTAAAAATTGCAAGGTATCAACAACAATATGACACAAACTTCTAGGAACTACTAGAGTAGTTTGCCTAACTCTGAAATAAATAATCTGAAACAAAGTCTGAAATGCTTTTTTTGTTGTAAATTATGATCCATTTATTTTATTTTTTTTATTTTTTTTATTTTACAATTTTAGGAAAACTTACAGCTAGGTATAACATAAGGATAGATTAAATTATAGATAAACGGCCAATAACAAGTTTCCGCTTATAGGTAATTAAATTACTAGTTTAAAAAGACAGCAAATGACGAAACAAAAAAAAAAAAACTGTTCAGAAAAACAAAAAGAAATAAGATATTATGTTTGAAAGAAACTTGAAGACATTAATTTCTTTAATCTACGTACGCTAGTGTGAAATAAATCTAAATCAATCCTCCGGCACTCTGAATCGTATGTCCGACACGCTCTTATCATGTATGAATTTTGTCTATAAACAGTGTTGGTAGACGGGACGTTAAGAAGTACAGGTTTGCGCAGAAAAGCAGAAGGCACACGCAACCCTATTCTGTCCACCAACTCCGGTACATCTAATGAGCCATTTACTATATTGAACAGGAATGATAAATCTGCAATTTTACGGCGCTCACATAATGGAAGGGTGTGAAACTGCTTGCAACGATCTATATAGTTATTTATGTAAGTTTTAGAGCGAAACTGGATGTACCTAAGAAATCTCCTCTGAATACTCTCGACACGATCTACATATATGGCGTAGTTAGGATTCCAAATCTGCGAGGCGTATTCCAGGTGACTGCGGACGAACGCACAGTATAAAATTTTTAATGTTTTTATATTACGAAATTCAGAAGAGACTCTGAAGATGAAACCCAAAGCCTTAGATGCCTCATTCACTATTTATCTATATGGGTATCAAAAATTAGCTTTGAGTCAAAAATCACACCAAGGTCCCTAATGTTGTTAACTCTGGATATTGTGCACCCTGAGAGTTTATAGTCATAAAGGACAGGCCTCGGTTTGCGTGTGAAAGTGCATACGAAACATTTGGAAACATTTAGGTCCAGTTTGTTGACGACACAGTACTCCTGAAAGTTATCAAGTTCCTTCTGCAGAGATATTGCATCCAATTCTGTCATTATCGGTCTCAGTATCTTCATATCATCTGCATAAAGTAGAATCTTAGAATTTTGAAAACATGCATCAATGTCATTCACAAAAATATTGAACAATAGGGGTCCCAGAAGAGACCCTTGAGGCACTCCGGAAGGGACACGGACAGATCTTGATGAGTATCCGTTAAGAACCACTATCTGACATCTACCCTCCACATAGGATGCAAACCATCTGTACAAGTCACCTCTGATACCTATACAAGCCAGCTTATACAATAGCTGAAGATGATCTATTCGATCGAAGCATTTGCTGTAGTCGTATTTAGCATTTTAATACAAGTTGCCTAGTACCCAGTACGTTTCTATATTTTGCAATGGCTAGCGTTACTAAATATGTATATTCACAAACTCATTGATCTAAAGAAAAATACTAATAAGTGATAAGCACGAAGAAATTATATTTTAGCTTTTATTGCTTTGAACAATGGGATATTAAACCGCTCTCGCCGATTGCTGTAGCAAACTGTATTTATGCATATACATAGGATATTTAATCAGTTGGTTTTTTTTTTTTTTTTTTTTTAAGGGGGGAAAATCATCGAATGACTGCTCCCGCCTGGGTGAGGCGGAAGGGAGTGTCAGACTCTTACTGACTAAAAACCACCCCGTTCCTTCTCCTGCACGTCGAGCCGGAGCCCCGGTTACCCGTTAGGTTCTCCGCGACTCCGAATCGGCATCGGCCCTGTTGGGCCCCATCTGTGGTGGTCTGATGGCTCTTTGAGGCGCGCGCGGAACGCGACGCGCCGTACGCTCGGGTCTGTTTCTGGTCGGACGGGGAGCCACCCATGCTCGCCGTCCGCAGGCCCGCGCTTACGGTGGCCGGAGATCGTCCCGCGATCCCCGACGCCCGGTGTGTCCTTCGCGATGGCTGGGTTGCGAGGAGGCAGCGCTTCGCTGCCTCGCGCGTCCCGCCTCCTCCTTAGCCAGCATGACTGCTTCGCAAAAGGAGGAGACGGCATCCCAGTCCCCCTCGCTCCGCATCATGGCCTGAACTAGGCCCGGACGCGAGAGGTCTCCATCGCCGATCACTTCCCTGAGGGCACGGCGGTGCTCAGCCCACGCAGGGCATTCCGCAACAGTGTGTTCCACCGTGTCCTCAGGGTGGTCCTCGCAGTGATGACACCCGGGCGTTTCCTCCCGCCCCATCAGACACAGGTACCTCCCGAAACTTCCATGTCCGGTGAGGACCTGCGTCAGGCGGTAGGTGAGGACGCCGTAGCGTCTCTCAAGCCACTCCTCAAAGAGGGGACTTACCGCTGCAATGGCAGCGAGCCCAGCCCTCGGTTGCGACAGTCGTTGCTGCCATTCCGCCATGAGATCGCGCCGGAGCTCATCCCGCCACGCACTTATCTGGCGCGGCAGCGGAGTTTCGCCCCGGCGACGTGCCTCCGCGCGCATGTACACGCGCGCGAGCACCTTCGCCTCCAGATCCCACGGCGGTAATCCGGCAAGGAGGTTCGCCGACTCCCCAGCGATCGTGCGGTATCCGCGGATCATTCGGATCGCCATGACCCTCTGTGACTTGAGCAGCGTCCGAGCAGGACGCCGCAACAAGTTCGGCGCCCAAACAGGGGCGCCGTAGAGGGCCATGGACCGCACGACCCCGGCGTATAACCTCCGGCAGGAGGCGTTTGGCCCCCCGAGGTTGGGGAGGATGCGTTTGAACGCAGCCCCCGTCCTCTCCAACTTTGGAGCCAAACGTCGGAAATGCTCTATGAAGTTCCATCGACTGTCGAGGACGAGTCCCAGGTACTTCATCGCCGTCTCGACGCCGATGGTAACCCCTCCCGCCATTATTTGAGACCCACCAGGAGGTGGCGCATTCCCGCGGCCATGAAAACACATGGCCTCGGACTTGTGGAGCGCCACCTCGAGTCCCAACTGCCGGATTCTCTCAACGACTGTCGCAACCGCTGTCGCCATTAAATCGGCCGCCGCCTGGTGCGACCTCCCGTGCGCTAGCACCAGCGTGTCGTCGGCGTAGCATATCATGCTAACGCCGTTCGGGAGGTCGGTGCGCAGCACCCAGTCATAACCGATGTTCCACAGGAGCGGCCCCAGAACCGAACCCTGTGGAACACCGCGTGACATCTCTCGCCGGTTCCACTCGCCCCGGTGACCGGGGTAGATGACGGACCTGTCCGTCAGGTATGCCTCGATTACACGACGGTAATCAGTTGGTTTAATACTACACCAGAATCATACAACTCGAGTTATTTCAAAATTATAGTTTATTATTTGGTGTATTTATGAAAATATTAGTGCATAATTGAAGTCTGTTTTACGCCTGACTTGATTAATTAATCGTGTTAACTTTTCTTGATAACAGAAGTACTTTTAAATTGTACTAGTTGTAATGTTTCCATCGAATGTCATTGATCGTTATTTATTACATACGACCACACGACCACAGAGCAACATGTGAGTGTTTCAAACTATGAACTATGTTTTTAAACATTTATTTTATTAAGTTGTTATTGGACATGTATGTGGTTATTTTTACAATGTTTATCTTTATACAATTCGCTTGCGACTTCGCCCACGTGGAGAAGTAACCTTTTCATTAAGTTCCAATATACCCTTCCAAAAGTATTTATCCTATCTCTGAACAAAGTTACATGTTAATCGGTTTAGTAGTTTTAAACATAAAACATTGATTACGATAGACAGCTACTTTAGCATTTACCTACGAGAATATATCGACCGACATCATAGGAGAGGTTCTGAAAAAAATTAGTACCTTCGTTCCTGTATGAGAATGAATGTGTTGGAAGCTAAAGAAGTGTTGCACGGATTGAATAGAGGGCGATCTGTAGTGTCTACCTACCCGCATGACACTAAGGCATACGTTTATATATGTATGTATTCATGTATATATTTCCTTCTAAAATACTCTATCCAATTTAAAGCGCGGAAATTCCAAGCTAGTAATATATTCGTCAGTTTGTCCAGTTTATGGGAAGCTCATTATAAAGTAGATGAGGTGACACAGCCCGGCCGGGGCCCAGTGCGCGGGCCGAAACGGCGCGACTCGCTGCGCACACGCACCTACCCACTGCCAGTCACTTTTATACCATTTATTTAAATAATGGACTATCTATTGTGGTTTCCTTTATTTATTATCTATGTTTGTAATTTTTAATACGTTAACGGGTTATTTTTTTAATCTTAATTGTTTAATTTGTGTTGGATAACTCGAGTGTGAATAGCACATGGTCTGTAAGTTTTTTTATTATTATTTATATGAAACATGCTAAGGTTGATAATATATTTTTCTAGTGTTCGAGAAACTCTAAAGTTTGAATTATTTTTGAATCTGTGTGCGTGCTGTCAAGTAAATACCCTTTCTTTCTTTTTAATTCGATGAAGATTGTTGAAAATCATCCCCTACATTTGTTCATACAAAAGTAGTCTCTAAACATTGAAAATAAGGTCTATAATGTAGTTAGTGGAAAGCGGCCACCGCTTGGGGATATACGGGTATTGTATGGTTTGGAAGTGATAAAAGGTATGTTTATATGAAAAACAATAAGTTATCTTTAGAAGTGGTACTTCACTTCTAGTTGACTTACTACACGTTCGAATTTTGTCAACAAATAATTGCCCATGGTTTGTGAAGTTAATCTATAAATTAAAAAAAATTAAATAGATTACTTAGATAGAATAAACTTAACTAAAATCGCGGGTTACTCACGTGAATATACTGGAAAAAGCTCTACTAGTTTCGAACCACAGAGGGGTTCTTCTTCGTGAGCAGCGTGCGCGGTCGCGGCAACGTCGCGCACCTCACTGTAGTAGAGCTTTTCTTAGTATATTCACGTGAGTAACCCGCGATTTTAGTTAATTCAGTATGTCTCACGATAGTTATTATAAAACCAGAGAATAAACTTATGTAAAAATAGACTCAAGTAATACATTTTCCTGAAACTTTACGATAAGTCGATGAATTATATTTGGCTATTCAGATAAGCAGTCTGACTGCGCTACTTGTTATTATAACATAGTATACAATATCCTCCTTGGTCAATCATGGTAATCAGTGCTTATGGGTTCTCCGTATGAGAAGACAATATTACCCAGGTCGTTAGATATTTAAAGGCTGATGACGATGATGTAATATTGTTTCTTTTCGATTTATTAAGAGTCTATAGTTTTGGTCTGTTTATGGCAATGGACTCACTTTCTTATAAATGAGTTTCATAACATAATTAGCGAAACGAGCAGTTATGTTAAATATGTATTCTATAACTTCTTCTTACGAATATATGTTCAAGCTAAATCGTAGATGTCTGCCAAACCCCTTAGCTGTTATTGTTTATAATAATTTCTACGCTACTTGGATAGCGTCCAATGTAATTGGCAACAAGCCCGCAACAAATTTTACTTGTCATTTTCATACAAATGTCAAAGTAAAATCATTGAATACAGTTTTTGAGGTATCCTGTAATCTCTATATTTTGTGTTTGTGAAGGAAAACATAAAAAAGAGTGTATGTGTATAGTAAAGTTGATGTTTATATTGATAACTGGATAGTGAGTCATTTTCTTTTTCATTTTATCTTGGTCCTATGAATCATTGGTTGTCTTGATATGTGTACACTGTTTAAGTGGATAACTACTTATTAAAAACTTATTTTTAATTAAACGTTTAAAACGTTTATAATGTTTTAATGTGCATTCTATTTTTCAAAGTAGGTTAAAAAGAAAAAACTAAAAAAATTTTTGAGCCTTGAATTGTATATAGGTAATAAGGAATAAACTCATTGTCATACATCTATACTAATCTGTACTAATATTATAAAGCTGAAGAGTTTGCTTTTTTTTTTTGTTTAAACGCGCTAATCTCCGAAATTACTGGTCCGATTTGAAAAATTCTTTCTGTGTTGGATAGCCCATTTATAGGCTATAAATTATCACGCTACGATTAATAGGCGCCGAGCAGAGCGAGTGAAACCGCGCGGAAGTAGCTAGTAGACAATAATTGTAATCACGATTTGAACACAAAAAGTAGCGTTTCTTGTAATCTTCTGTTTATTTATTTTTTATCTAACTCTAATTCTGGAGTAGAGAGATATCGACAGATTGTTTCTGAAATATAATGTCAAATGCACACCTGTTTGGTAAAACTATGATATGCTAGATAGCAGAGACTTATCTACAGTTATCCTAAAGTTTGAACTGCTATAAACTGATGGAAACATCTCATCTTGTACAGATGTTCTTTGTGTAACTAAGTATCAACATCATTCACACTACTATTTATTTATTTCATGATTTCTGGTCATACAAAATGAGTACAACCTTAGAGGGTTACAAAACATTATATACCCCAATTATCAAGTAAACTAGAGTGTTTTTTTAAATTTTTTCTAGGATTTTGAAATTCGACTCTAGGATTTTGTTTTATATCGATTTGTGAATCACACAAAGACGAAATATTTGTTCTGTGCGGGAATCGAAACCGTTTCACATTTCTCAGTAGTCGATCTTAATATTAACATTGCTACTTATGTTTCAGGTACACAGCAGTTACGGTGAAGAGTTGGGGTTCAATTCCGACGAAGAAGGATACGGGCGAGACGCTATAGACGACGTGCCTCCGTTACCAAACGACACTGATCAGGTACCCACTGCTCCACCATCAGATGGAATACATCATGGTGAACTGAGACCTCTAAAATGTGGTTGCTAAGATTCCTAAGCTCAGTAAGCGGCTTGGGGATCATAGATGAGCCACTGACGACAGTTTAAAAAATCCATAGTCAGTACTTCAGAAGTTTTATCACATTGTTTATATATATATAGCAAATTATGTATTAAATACTGACAGCTCATCAGCAATTCAATAGAATTGGTAAGTATGTATGTTTAAAGTCGCGAGTGTATTTTATATATTTGTTTGAAATGTAATGTACTGCTCTAGGTGTTTTTCACATATCAAGAATCTATCGTAGCGTTTGATAACATCACAGTTAGTAGATAATGTAAGGTTTGTAGGCATTAGGGCAGGTCGTGTCCTAGACTAGTACTACCAAAACCTAGGTCGATGTAACTACTTATTTTATCTCTATTAAATGATTTTTAAGCGACTTACCAAAAATATGATGAAATTTGTCAAATACGTTGGTCCTACCACGTACAACGTCACAAAAAAGCAAAGTTGGTTTTAATACTCAATCTAAACTCTACTGAGTATATCAGGAGTGACCTAACTTCAAGTCAGAAACACCTTTTTTAAACTAACAAATATTTTCCTCAAAATACCTCAGAACTTCGCTTACAGAAATATGCGATAATCCTTCCGTTTCTCCTGATGACGTGATTGCTGATAATTCAGTACATATCTACAAATTTACCCAAATATATCTAGGGACATTTACTACACGATACTACTAAGAACGGCTATCTCCACAGATAACTAAATAAGACAAAACAATCGCAAAATACCTGACTCATTCGCAGCTTAAACACCTGTGGTAAAATCTAGCAAACATCGTTTTTAAAATTCAACTTTCGACCTATAGCAACAGAGTTATTTTTCAGATTGACAAAGCTTGTTTAACGTCATGGAAGCGAGTTCACTTTGATAGGAAAATCATCTTTATTTGTAATGCTTTAAGGGTTATATTCCGGTAGATGGGATTGGTTCCTACGTGTGGCGTATGTAGAGATAAAAAAGGCGATAAGTTTAGAAATACCGAAAATAAAAATCAATCGGTAATCAAGCCATCGTCACTATCAGTCGATAAGTGATAGCGTTGTAACTACACGTGTCCATCATCATGCGTATTACAAGGAAATCTAAGAAAAAAGTGAGTTATTATTTTATTATTATTTCCACTTTTCAACTAAAATATTACAGTAATTCTATCAAAAATCTTTACAAAACGATACATTTCTGTAAAAAATAATGTAAAAATGGTTTTATTCAATTTAAAATTCTATTTAAAGAGATATATAGAGACGTACATAAAAAAGATGATACATTAATGTTTACAACTATTGGAGAAGACATCATAAAAATATGATAAAGATATTATTGACTTGTTTAGGTGTATATCTGTCATGTATTATAACAAATAACTGGTAGGTACTTACCTCTAAATATTTATCTTAACTGTACATACTACACATATTTGATAGGTACCTATATATAATACATACATTACATGTTTAGTAGTGGTATCTACATCTATTCAGGAATTGATTTGCGTTTGTTTCCGCGTAAAATTTTACGCAAGAACTTTATTTATAATTCCAGGCAGTAGCATAAATATCAAGTCGCATACAAGTCATGACTACTGACTTAATACGTTATTAAAGAACAAATGACATAAATCATAATAACACATCTTACCCCGACAGGGCAGCTTCTAAATTCTTCAGAGCACACCGGTATGTTATTAAAAATGAACAAGTCGCTTTTGGGTAGGGCATGCATGACCTAACATACATATGCCAGATTTGTCTTTACAAGATACAGCGTGTCAATCAAAACAAAAACCAGGCTTCAAAGCCTCGAACACAAACTTTCGGTTTTCTACCTCATGCATTTCGGTGAGTGTGCGGGGGAACTGCACAACTTGATTCCCCCAAGTCTTTTCCATGATAGTACCACAAGACAATCGGCGAACCGATTCGTGGTAGATGTCCCACGAAGCGCTTCGCATAATCTTCCATGTGCGTACTGCTAAGGAGTGGAATTCTTTGCCAGAGTCTGTGTTTCCTGAAGGGTAGAACCTGGGTGTCTTCAAGGCCCGAGTGAATAGGTTGCTTATCTGGCGATTTGCTCCATCGTAGACCGCATCATCACTTACCACCAGGCGGCTGCAAATCTTTGTGATGTTTTTAATGCGATGCGCACTGTCTAGTAATTATCTACTCTTTGCAGTTCTTTAGAGTCTGCACAATATTATAATCTTATAGCCAGGTTCAATAATCTATGTATGTTTAGTAATCATCTTAGATATTTATAATTATCATACCTAATCACAATGCCAGTTGGGAAATTAACCTTAATCTTGCATTGTGCACCAAACAAAGGATCATGCCAGACTTATCAACGACTAGCGACCCACCCCAGCTTCGCCTTCGTGCTTTCCCGATGTTTCCGAAGAATGTATCGAACCTTTCTATTATACAAACTTTGTCCTGAAGATAACGATTACAATAAAAAATTATTACACAATTCATTGCAGTCATTCGACAGTAATTAGCGTACGTACATACATTTTGAAGATCCGTTTTTATTAATATAGATAATCACCATCGACATGTTACCCCAGGTTCACACACTACTCGGTATGAGATATTCCCCTTTTTCTGCCATACTTCTTGGTTTATTACAACCACACAAGGAATTTCTAATACAAAAATATACCTATTTAGATAATCACTTGTTTGCACCCTTTAACCAAACTTGTTCATAGAAAATTAAGTTCTAAACATTGGGAATAAGGTCTATTTCCAATAGAGATGGATGAGAAAAGATAAGTCCTATTGGCTATTAAAAGAAGTAACAATATACTTGTTTGAATCAGTATTCCACTTTAGTACATGGATGAAAACATCTAGAAGATTAAGGTAGCATTAAACAGATTGCACAGCTTACAACCAAAACAAAGCGAGATAACATAATAATTATGTTACTTAATTTTCCCCCTTTCTAAATAACGAGTCATCAACCGATATACAACAGTAATTACTGATAATAAAATAAATAGGTTCTTGTTCTACTCAGTAATACATAAGAAGTTACTGATGACATATAAAAACGTCCTAAAAATACGGTCTTGTATTTCCGTCTTGGAATAATAAACAAAAATATTATTTGTCAGAGTATAGACATGAACAAAAGAAAATAACATAATATAACATCACGCCTTTTATCCCCGAAGGGGTAGGCAGAGGTGCACATTACGGCACTCCATGCAACTGTACAATGTAACACCCACTTTTCACTAATAATGTTATGAATCCCATGTAATAGGGAGTGACCCTCATATACCACCCTATTGCCATATACAGAGCACTTTTCCAGACTCCGTGCTACAACTGAGATTTTTTTTTAAAAACCCAGTAATGCTTTGCCCTACCCGGGTAATGAAAAATAATAGACAATTATAGTAAGCTTTTGTCCCTCAGTATGTTTATTCAGTAACTTTATTAATTCAATTATTTATTATTAAACTAAAATATTTTTGACCTTGTTAGTATAAGTTATACACAATGCTAGCTTATAGTGGCGGAACTAAAGAGTGCCCCCAGCTGGAAAGGGCTCCGTTCAGAGATTTTCATCTCAACTTCTCTGTTCTTTATTGGGCACAGGGGTCCATCCGATGAAATTGCCACGGGGCCCGAACAGATAGTTACGCCACTGCTAGCTTATTAAGTACATACTTTCCTTGTTTTAATCAACAAGGAAAGATTTTGTTTTTATAAAACCCTAATTATCTAAGACCAGATCATAATAATATTTTGATAACATAGATAAATATCGTCATATTACTAAGAATCTATATTTAGGCTCGCCTCAGTTACATAACGCAGTAGTAACAGGTGTTGAAATATATTGTATACGGAATATTTGCTATCGTAAAGATTAACAGTATTATATCTGGGTGTCTCGATAGTGGAACCAGATTATACCGTTATTAGTAGGTAGACGGACTGAATCTGACAGCCTCGTTGGCCGCATGGTCCCAAGTGCGACTGCTGGGAAAGGGGTCACGGGTTCGATTCCCGGGTCGGGCTAAGTATTACTACTACTTTTTTAAAAATCTCAGTAGTAGCACGGAGCCTGGAATTGTGCCCAGTATAATGGCAATAGGCTCACCCCCTATTACTTGGGACTCATAACACAAATAGTGAAAAGTTGGTGTTACATTGTATTGTGCACTTCTTCCTACCCCTTCGGGAATAGAATGCTGTTGATGTTATGTTGATGATGTCATTTTGTCTAACTTTCACAATTTATGATAACATAATCTGGTTAAAGTTTATTATAATTATATACTTAGTATTTTTCTGACCCATAGATTTAAATTAATACAGGAAAAATATATTACACCAGGTAAACAAAATCCTAATATCACTAAAGACGTGGGTGGGATATATTACCGTGATTCATGTTTATTAGCAGTAATCAAAGCAATTTTCTCTAGCGCTGATATTCAGCTGATACTGCTGACCTCCAGCTAGCTAGCGAGCGTGCGTCAGAACAAACAATAGACACATATAACAACTATATTAATTGTTTTATTAATTTAACAAGATAAGCCCATAAGAGCCACACCACGTCTATTACTATTTGTCTAATAACATGAGTCGTTATTTGGGCAAAAATTTGGTCGTGATACTGCCATGCGATACTGTGACAACAAATAACTTATTATTTTATTGAAATGTAAAAGAAAATAAAAGTTGTGCTTAATGCTAGATATATTTTGAAGGATAACCTAACCTTTACGCGCCGTTTAGAAAGTGTTCTTTATAAATATTTATAGAAAATCGTTTGATCTGTATTTCCAAAAGAAAATTCAATATAGTTCACCCTATTTAGATTTATATGAATTAATGGAACACCCTACAATATTAAACAATAAATAAGCGTAGGTACCTAATTCCTCTGAAGGATTATTATGGTTTTGAGGTAGGCAGAAACCTAATTTAAGTAACATAATTAATGAGTGTTCGTCGTATGTACGTGCAATGTCTCGCCGGAAACTAGAGCAGTACATTTGTTGTAGCCGAGCGAGAGCAGCGGCAACAACGCGTGGTACTTGTCTGTGCAGGACCTCACGGACGCCGCCAACATGGACGCCGACGACCCGCGCGACCAGCGCGACGCGCGCGACAACCGCACGCGCCAGGGCACGCGCGCGCACGACTCGTCGCCGCCGCTTGGTACGTTTTGTTGCTTCATTTTATTAAAATAAAAATATACTAGCTGAGCCAAGACTTCGTCCGCGTGAAATAGTGATTCACAACTATACCCTCGTAGTTGTATGATAATATGTAGCCTATATGTTGACCCTGTTTTACAGGAGAAAATCCTAGAGTGGAGCAAGAAAAAACGATTTTATAATAATTTTTTTTTATTACTATTTGTTGATCTGCAATCAGTCGCCAGACTATAATCAGATGTGGTGAAGTGGGATGTGGCTTTTGACTGCAACAGGCCAATGCCTGCTGTCACTTATATTATAAGGTGTCGCTTTAATCTTTTCACATTTTAAGCATTGTCAAGTAATTCCATGACCAGTGGATTAGGGTGGTGGGCGAGACGCTCACGATGTTGTTTTTTATATATACCATATGTCCATATAAGTTTCAGTATCGAGTAAATTAAATTAAATGATAATTATTAACTATCGTTTAGTTTAGTATAGGTATAATTTGAAAAATATATTGATAACAATGATACCTAAATTATTGTACCTCTGGACGCAGCCTGTACAACAGGTGTTTTGTATTGAGTAGGTAGTGACAGGCAGTAAGGTACTGATATTTAGAATTACGTGTCAAAACAATAATCGTGTGATATAGGAATAGTTTTAATCAAAAATATTTACGTGTGATAAGCAGATACATACATACATACCTACATCTGGATAACAGTTATTACTAAGTTTGTGTATTATTTATATATTGTTTTTGACAATATTGCTATAGTTAGCCTAGACTGCTTTGTTGGCCTAGTGATCGCAAGTACGACGCCGGGGAAGGAGTCTCGGATTCTATTCCCGGGTCGGGCAAAGTATTACTGGGTGTTTTAAAAAATTCTCAGTTGTAGTACGGAGTCTGGAAGGAATTGTGCTAGGTGTATGACAATAGGCTAACTCCCTATTACATGGGAGTCATAACGTAAAAAGTGAAAAGTGGGTGTTACATTGTACAATGGCATTAAGTGCCGAAATGTGCACCTCTGCCTACTCCTTCGGGGATAAAAGGCGTGATGCTATGTTAGCCTATTCAAGATTACAACAACTGCCTTTTACTGGTGCAAGTACATTCAAAGTTTTCATGCGTTTTCCTTTGTCCCTTGACATGTTATCATAAACCTAACACGAATTCAAACTTCATTGCAATAAGTAATTGAATTATTCGAAGTACCTGCTACTAGTCCTTAGTGCTTGATAGTCCACCTCTTTCTACCCCTTCAGAGAATAAAAGGCGTTATGTTCATGACTCATGAGTAATATTAATTGAACTAGTTAGTAAAAGTTGAACTTATATAAAGGTACACCTTTGAGTTCGATATCAAGAAACAAAGAATAAAAAGCATGATAAGAACTCCTTGTCGATTGTTAGTTAAAAGTACCCATTCCGTAACAACTTGTTGGGTATTACCCTGAACCTGTGGGTATACAGGTGATGTCCATGCGATATTTGTACTCTCAAAAGTAAACCATCTTATTTGGTAATTTATTAGCAGTTTACATTAAACCATAGCCGGAATAACGCAGTCAATCTTACTTTATAAGTACCGCGTGTTTAGTAATAATAATAATTTTACGTGCGTGCAATACCCGCCCAAGCTCGCAGTGATTTTCATTTGCAAAATATTATCTTATGTGATACATTGTATTGTAAGATAGTATTTATTTAGATGTGGAGTTCTCTCATAACATTAAATAGTAAGCGTCCATCGACTCGTGGGATGGAAGTACGGAACAAACGTTTGTATTGAACACGCTAAATATAGTTATTCATTAACTGTGGAGTGCCAACGTCGCGTCGTTTTATTAGTATTATTTTCCGGTTAATTCCGCCCTAGAACTATTTCGTTTTTACGAATTTTTTTTAAGATATTTAAATTTGTATTTATTTTATTTTTTAAAAGATTATTTCTTCTAATATTCGTTAAATTACTTCCAAAAACGCGATTTTAGCGTTAAAACAGTTACAGATAAACATCAAACTTTTTAACTAAATAATAAATTAAAGTGTATATGATCTCGATGATTTACTTTTCGAGAAAATTAAAGAAGAGTGCTGTAGCAAAGATGGACGATGCGGAAATAGTAGACTATTCAGAGGACGAGTTTGTGATGTGTGAGATATTTGAGGTGTGGGAACACATTGACACCAGGCAGTGCGTGAGACCTACGTCTAGCCTACTAGGTAATCTATACAGAGAGTGTTTGTTTGTAATATTAAAATAACAGCTTTTTACTACATGCTAATGAATATACATAATGATACACAGACTAAAATATTTATTTTACATTTTTTTCTGTCTGTCTGTTTATACTGGCTAATCTCTGGAATGAATCTCTGAACCGATTTTGCAAGATTTTTATCGGCAGGTAGCTGACGCACTAAGGAGTAAAATAAGCTACTTTTATATTCTACCCGGACGAAGTCGCGGGCAACATTTAGTATTTTATAAATACTTAATACCTCAGAAACATAGGGTTTTATACTATTAAATGGGAATACTACCAAAACGTGGAATATTAAATATTGGCGTCCTTGCATAAATCCTTGTGGAAATAAAAAGCACAATGTTCTTAAAACTTACTAATATATACATGCGAAAGTAAGTGTTGCGCTTTCACACTTAAACTCCTGCACCGATTTTGATGGAATTAGAACAGGACTACAGAGATAGAATGTTAGTCTGGGAAATTATGGTTCTGAAGGAATTGGGTAGCTTTCAGAGTAAGAAAATTAAAAATCTAATTAAGTAGTCCGTCAGATAGATAATGAAAAAATATTAGACACGTATTTTTGTTGTATAAAGTTACAATACTTAGATAAAATGGAGTTAAGTTTAGGAGTGGGAGGTCGTTACGTCACAACGTGCTACATTTTGTTGCACGCTGTAACGTCACACGACATTTCAAATCAATATATCGTCGAAAACATTTAATTTTGTGAGAAAAGAATAAATACGAGTTTAATGTTTTAAAATAATCTGCCAGACGGACATTAAAATAAAATTTATGAAACTAGCCTATTATATTTTTGTATTTAATATTCCACACGAATTAAGTAGCGGGCAAAAACTTGTGAATGTTACTTTCTCTTTATTTTATATTGTTTAAGCGTAAACATAAAATATTCACAAAGCAAGATACAATGGCTCTTGTATTCTTATCGCATTCGATGATCTCTTCCAGACAACCTTAGGTACTACTATTATGTAGTCAAATGCGATTGAAAAGTTTTTCAAAATCAACAACATCCTATCTGTCGTTTAGAAATATAATATACATATATGTAATTATGTATATATTTTTTAAACCGTGACTCTACACTTAAGATTTTCTCTGTGTGTCGAGGGCGCATTTACAAATATATAAAGGGGGCGTCCATAAATTAATTACGTGAGGTGTTTTTTTAATTGTCTGTCCCTCCCTCCCCCCTTGGTGAGATTTCGTGAGATTTTATTCAACTCCCTCCTAGGGGAGGGAGTTGAATAGTCCCCCAATCTCACGTGAGGTTTTTTAAAATGTTGGTTTTTCGCGTAAACGTGTTGGATTGTTATTGTAAAAAAAAAAAAAACCCATGTGCATGTACAATTAAATCTTAAGCTTGTACAATCTGTAATAAATGAACTAAAATAGTATTTTTTTTTTGTTTCGATCAGAAAATAAATTACGTGATATTTGCCGAGACCCCCCCTCTCTCCAACGTAAGGTTAAATGAGATTTGAGTCTACCCCCTCCCCCCTTAAACATCTCACGTAATTTATGAACGCCCCCAAATCCACATACATTCACAATTGATGAACCACACAAAGAGTAGTCCAGCGCGAGAATCGAACCCACGAAATGAAGTATGATGTCGTCGTTCTGCCTTTGTGGTTGCGGTTAATTGTAAAAATAAACATTACACTGTTTTGTCATATATCGAGTATTAATTAAATTAACTAATAATCAAACCGCAATTATTGTGCGGTACACAAATTAATGGTATGAGTAAATATAACTGCAAAATATTAATTAATTTTCTTTTGTGAGTAATATTAATCAAAATTGTATTATTTAATTCATGACGTCATTTATTTTAATCCCGTCATTGTCTTATATGGCCCAATAGTCATTCAGATAAAATATATATTTCCATGGAAAAAATAAAGTAATTGTTTTTGTTATTCCTACTTCACTTCCATTTACCAAATTATCTTTGGGTAGTAATAAAAGCTCCGACAAGAAAAGAATAATTGTCCTTACTGAAAATATCAAATCTACTTCCTAAAATACTAACTTTCCGACTACTTTACGTGACTGTTTATTGCTACAATACTAACCTAACCTAACCTAAAACGTCTGTTGTCGGTAACTTAGTAATTTTGTCGGAAGTTCAATATTCTATTTGGACGTTTAGTTTTGTTATTCGAAGATCCATTTTTATAGTCGGCCACAGATCGCTGGAGATTAATTTGTTTTTCGGAACCATTGTTATTTTCCATTATCTTTGGTGACGCAAATTCTAGAGAGTCCGGTGTGCAGTGATAGTCTTGCCTGCCTAGGACAAAGGATGTCTAATTACAATGGTATATCTGACGTTACAGTGACGAATGGCGATGCGGAGTACCGCGAGGATGAGGCGGGCGACACTCTGCCCACCGACATGTCCGACACATCCGACAGCGAGCCCGACAAACCGCACAAGTAAGTATACTGTGTTATTTAGACTATTAATCATCACTATTAATCAAAAAATTCGGAGTCGCGGAGAACCTAACGGATTGCCGCATGCCGGGGGCTCCGGCTCGAAGCGCGCAGGAGAAGGATCGGGGTGGTTTTTAGTCAGTAACAGTCTGACACTCTCCCTCCCGCCTCACCAGGCGGGAACAGTCAGTCGATGATATTGATTCCCCCCTTAAAAAAATACTCAAAAATGGGCCAGTCAAATGATATTATTTTTACGTGGAATAGCCATGCTTCGACACGAATAGACCGGCTCGACCGGATTGATACCACGGCTTCATAGAAAACCGGCGTGACACAACGCTCCCGTTGTGTTTTGCCATGTGAATAAGGTTACCGGAGGCCTAATCCTCGTCTTTTCTCCTCCCCTTCCATAGCCTTCCCTCCCTCGTTTAGGATAATTTGCTTCCGTACCTAATTCTGACTCAACGTATAACTATGATAACATTGCGACAGTGGCGGCGAGGTGGAGAAGTGTACAGCGGCCCACGATGGCAAGCTGATCCTGCGGCAAGAGTTCCAGTTCAACATCGACAACCTTTTCACCATGATCTTCACCAACTCCAAGTTTAACCTCGAGTTCCTCGCTGTCAGGGGCACCACTGACTATGTACAGGTAACTGGGAATCTCTTGTTTTACCTATTGTCTGTTAGGAATCTTTACAAAGCGACGAAAGTTTGCAGTTCTTAGTAATTAATTAAGCACCCCTTGAGAGGAACTGGATAAGTTATGTACTTAGTCAGTATGTACGTTTACTTACTTGCCATAAATTAAGAAAATGAATAAGCCTCTAACTGTTTACTGCCGACAAGAACAGTTAAACGCGACACGACACCAAAAATAAATCAATCTTTTTGATCATAATTATGTTTATTTTTGAAAATGATATCGTCATTACGAGCAATTACATAAAAAAAAATTAATTCAATGCCACTTTGTAACGTAAAAATTATGATATTTGGACAAAGCAATACGTTTTTGCAGGCTCCGTGGCAGGTGCAGGGAGGGTTGAAGTGTCGACAGATTAGTTACACGCTCGGCCTCACGTCGGGACCTATAGGACCTAAGGAAGTGCAAGTCACCGAGACACAGGTTTGTAACATTGTATTTAAGTATTTATAAATATTAATATAAGGTAACTTCTGCCGGCCGTTTAACCCACAGTCCTATAAAATGTAAGCTACGTGTTATTTACCCGAATATAATCTACCTCTGTGCCAAATTTTATTCACATCTGCTTAGTAGTTTTTGCGTGAAAGAGTCACAAAAAAAATACTGAAAAATGTTCACATTTATAATACTTACATAAACAATATTTGTGCTTTGTCAGGTAATGAACAAGTGCTCAAAGCCGGGCATGCTGTACTCGATCGACTCGACGAGTGAGAACGCCGGCATCCCATACGCGGACTACTTCAGCGTACAGGTGCACTACTGCCTGCAGCGGGTATCTGATACCCTCACCGAGCTGTCCATCTACGGACACGTCAAGTACAAGAAGAGCATGTGGCCTATGATTAAAAGTAACTAATTTTGTATTACAACTCTCGCGAAAAATATTAAATTAATTCGGAGGAACTCATTTTGGGACCTGTGTTGCCTTGAAATTGATCGAGTAACTTCGTAATATAGTAACGTGATAAACCATATTACCTAATTAATTTAAACGTAATAGTCTCATGTTCTCTACATAATATCTTCTTTATTTGGGAACATTGTATCATCCTCTACATTGTTTTTGTGCAGCATTCCTAGAGAAAAACACAATATCGGGGTTGGAGGACTTTGCGAGAATCTTGGAGTCCCGACTGACCAGCGAGGCAGACTGCGCAGTCCCCGCCGCCAGGAAGGCGCGCAGACATCGGCGGGCGCCCGGTAACTACTCATATACACACTCACTCGCCTTATTTACACTCACTAATCTAATGACTCTAAAGGGCACCGTACACACTTATTTCGAACTGTCAACATCAAAGATACCATGGACAGTCTGACTGTAACAATGTTTTGGACGATTTGAGTGAACCTCAGGGTGTTTTGGTTGCTTCTATACATATACTTGCTACTTAAATTGAAAGCACTAACAAGACAAATAGTAATGCTATTTTTGAAAATAAATGCAAGCACCTAATTTAAGAGTTGATATGTTAGATACACATAAAATATAGGTATTGAGGATACACATAAAATATAGGTATTGAGGATACACATAAAATATAGGTATTGAGAATACACAATTTTGTTGTATAGGATTAACGAATTAACGTGTGTATTCATTTGTTTGTCTCGCTTGTTTGTAGATAACAAAATGTACAGTGATGTTGCTTGTATAGTGACTAGTGTGATGTGGTATAATGTAGTTGTTTGTGTCGTGCAGTGGGTATGGTGTGTCGCGCGCCGTTCCCCCTGGACGGACTGCTCGCGCCGCGCGCCACGATCTCTCGCCCTGTCTACCCTCTCTGTCCTCGTACAGCGACAAGACAATAAAAGATACTATCTTTACTCTTTTCCATCGCACAATTAAGCTTCGCTACAGCCTCACTGGGCTTTATATTGAAAAGAAATCTATACGCACTCATTTCATCTTAAAATCTGCGTTTTGTTAATAAAGCTGACTTTTCGTTGTACTATGACTGGAGTGGAGGTCCTAATGTGTGTCGATGAAGTGTGGCAGGATTCAATGTATGTAACATGATGAGTTGAACTGAGTGCTGAGTGAGAGTTAGTTTTACGTGAACGCGATTATCATGTTTATGCCGATCGGCGCTCTGATTGACCTGCTCAAAGTCAACTAACCATTGAGAGGACTATACACAGTGTAGAGTGGATCACGTTGATGTAATAATACTCACACTCAGCACTCTGGTATATGTAGTGAGGTGGTGTAGAAGTAACGTATGTGTTTGTGTAGCTGTGGCGGGACCGGAGGCTGCGCCGGCGCCGGGCAAGTTGGCGGGCGGCGGCCTGGCGGCGGCGCGGGTGTCCATCTCGCGCGCCGCCAGGCCTCCGCCCTCGCGGCCGGGCGCCGCCACGTGGCTGGCCGCGTTACTGGCGCTGCTACTACTCATCAACGCCGCGCTGTACTACAAGCTCTACTATACGGACAGAAGCGGATACGCCTTCGATATCGATGATTTACAAAGCAGGTTAGTTCCTTGTTTCATTGACTTGTTGAAGTGTAATTTGTCAAATTGTCGATGTTTAGCGTCATTTCAACTCATGAATAGCAATATGGTACTTGAAACGAATAGTGTTTGGTGTTGCATCTAATATTTGTTCGTAATTAAAACACATCTGATCTGATCATCATAATCTGTATTGATTGTTTATTTAACCTTTGCATTGCGTTTAGTATGCCATGAGTAACACGATGTGTTGTTAGACTGAGTAGTGGGCAGGGCCCGGCGATGGCGGAGTGGTCGGCCCAGCTGCAGGCGCACGCGCGGCGCCAGCGCGGACAGCTCCTCGCCTGGAGGCACGCGCTCGACCGGACCGTGCAGCATCTCGCACAGGTATGACTCCACACATACACGTCATCATCAGGTCGTAAGACTCCACTGCTGAATTACTGGCCTATTCTACATAAGAAGCATTACCTCCACGCTTAGAACGCTTAGCAGGCGAATTACAAATCGCAATTTAACAGCTGCTGACCGACCATAACCCAAATTCTCCGAACCAATCTCTGTTATTCACTGAAATTTCATACCAACAAATTGCAATATTAAAATCGATCTAAATCCGCAGATTTTGGATTGAAATCTGTCATTAATTTCGGCCGTAACTCATTCCCTTTGCAGATATCTAATTGCATTTAATGAAGTCAAGCTTTACTTTACACCTTACCTTGTGTATTTCAGACGGAGCAAGCGCTGACGAAGCTATTAGAGACGATAAAGCCGTCGCTGGAAAAAGCGCAAAAAGAGGCGGAGTCGAGGGAGGAGCTCTGAACGAATTGTACGTCACTCCTGCGCACATATGGTTTTATATACAAACTAAAAAATTAAACTAGCGCCCTCTACTGACAATGAATTATTCTACATTAGTACACGCGTAAAAGTACAGGTTCAATCCAATCTGAGGGTAGCCATAATGTAGGCATAGTGTTTGAATGTACCTGTCTTTGCCTAGACTTAGCTCACGTAACGAGTATACGATTACAAGACAATAGACTACAGTACCTTTATGTATAGTTGTATATGCAACCATGTGTGCGCTTAGTGAATATTTTATCCTATTACGTCTGCTAGAGGTTTTCTCGACAGTTGCCCAAACATTAGGTCAGTACGACACATCATTCATTTTATAAAAGTTAGATTCCCCTTAGAATTTGGTTGAGTGTTGACTATTTTTCATCAGAAATCTTAAATTATAGTAATGTAGACACCTTACGGTCGAAATTAATAACAATCTCCGGATTGATCCTTGTTTTTGGTAGAAACTCCATACAGACAGAAATCGGTCTTAATAGCTTTAGACTGAAATTGTTTAATAATTTTGGCAGTTCATTGACACTCGACTATTTAAAATTACGACCATTTCTCCTCATTCTTGGTACACAGAAAACCTCACAGATCCCCACTGTGATAAAGTAGATACAAATAATAAATATATTCCTCTAGAGAATACTGTAATCTTGTGACGTATGACGCCAAGCGATCGTACCGCGTCCAGTTTACTGCTTGTTACTCGTAAGGTAATTATAGTTTTATTTTTAAGACGGCAGAGGGGAATAGGGCCCTTCGACACTAAACTAACTTATGTCCTCAATTTTAAGTCGCACTTAAGTATAGTTCTGTCGCTATACATTCTTTGTAAAATGATAGAGATGGCACGATATTTAAGTACAACTTAAAATTGAGTAGTATTTCAATATTCGGGCGTTAGATTTCTCTAAATTTTTGCTGTAAAATATTAGGGTAAGTTCGCCAGTTCTCATACATTTTACGGATCGCATGAATGTAAGATACTTAAAACGGGGAAAGCTGAAACAGATGTGTACCAAACACTACTTATATTGTGATAGCTTTGTTATTTTCGGAAATAATTAAAGGGCGTTCCGTAACATGAACGCGAACAGGCGACTTATCCTATACAAAAATGATGAATGAAGGTAAATTTCTAGGGCCCTATTTCTCTCAGTACTTTAAAGCCTCATACTCGCTTTTGTAATGTAATTTCTTGGAACAGTCATCACAAGTTGAAGTAGGTAACGTGTACAGTTCGAGGCTTGGGTTAGTTAGAAACGTAAGTACTTACGGCAGTTATATTAAATTACATGTATATAAATGAACAGTGCACAATATTTTAGCAACGGTTACTTGATATTTTTAGTTGGAAAAAAGCTAGTACAGTTTAACTTGTCCATCCATTATTTAATCACAAATGTAAAGATATTTTACAATTATTTATTTATTTTAATGTTCTATTTCACTAAAATATTGTACATTGTTAGTGTAAATATCGCCGGCGCAATAATAGTTCATAAAATAGTTTGTAATATTATAGAACCAATTAAAAGCTTAGGAAACGGATATAGCTTCATAGTGTATAGTAAAATTGCCTGCTATTTTTCAAGGAATACTATTGGTATTTGATTATATTTTTTAATATATTTTATTTATTCTCGGTAATTATAATGAAAATAATGATTCTTGTAAAAGTTCATTGAACATGGTTTGCCCAGGTACATAGGAATATGTATGTAACAAAATTTTGACAGCTCTACCAAAAATTGTTAGCTACGCTTGGTATAAGGTTCCGATTGTTGCATTTGAACAGTTAGAGTAATTAAACGTAAGGTATCGTCTAGTTACTACCGCCAAACGTCGTCCTATGCGGCATAGTGCTAAGCATGATACGATCGTTATACAGCAATTAGTGATTGCATTGTTATCAGACATGTATCGATTACAGGGTTTTCTTTCCTACTTTACTCACGAAAATAATATTGTACCTAACCTGTAAGTACGAATTACTATTATTTAAATGACGAGTCTACCTCTTGTAAATATGTTTATCTGATCGATACATGCCTGATTCGTAGAATTAATGATCGAATTAATTATGAAACATTAAAAAATGAATCTAAAATAATGGATTCATATTTAAAAAAAAATGATACAAAGAAATCTATCACGGTGTTGTTTAGAATATTCAGAGTATTAAATGTAAAATAAGTAAATGTTATGAAAAGGAAAATATGTAAATTTTTCAGTTGTAGTAATGATCTCTTATTGTAACAATATTCTACTACACCTAGTTGTTTCGGTGCTCTAGTTTTATGTAAAATGTAAATGAATTTTGTTATATTTTAAATTGATGCTTGTATATTGAAAATGTCAATTATGTTATTATTTATTGTAAAATCAATTAGATCCACAACATATTCAATGAAATGCTGAGTATTTACATGTACCTACGCCAGGGACTGTGTAATGCGTGTAGTATATAACTGTTGTTATTGACTTATTGCAGTTGTATTATATATTTCATTCCATGTGTGAAATGATCTGAACATTAGATTAGTCGGAATGGTGGGACAAAATATTATTATAGATTCCTATTTAGATAAATACCTGTATTGTGCATTTCTTATGTGAAATGGCGTTTGTCAGTCGTGAACAAGCGGGCGAAGGTGTAGACAGAGTCACGGATAGGGATCGTAACATTCAGTAGTGGCTCGATCATTAGGCGAGTTGTGTGTGATATGGCCATGAAAACAAACAAATTGTACTAAAAGTGAAACAAACGCCAAAGTAGTTGTTCCAGCACCAACTTCAATATAATCGTACACACGTTGAGCTCTATTCCGTAGCACTAGAGAATAGTTGTATCAGTTCCGTGGACAGATTATATGCAAGTTGTGCTGTGAAATGTAGATATGGTGGTTATAAGTTATTGGTTAATTTGTTTGTGTAACTGCCAAAGCATGGTCCAATAGCACAAGCCTAAAGTCGTAAATATTCACCACTGCCCGCTTCCAAGTCCATAGTTTGTGTCAAATGAAATGCAGCCAGAAAATAGTTGGATTTATATTGCACAATTAATTCCATTTAGGTGTAATGGATTTATGTAAGTTAGACAATTCTATTCTCAGTATTGAATAAATATTTTAATGAAAACTATTTATTTTATTGTACTTTTTATGACGCGAGAAACTGATTTTTTACCGACAATAGTATAAAGTGACGTGAGTACCTACATCGATATTTATAGTTAATTTAGTGAGAGAGTGTGGGAGAACCATGAATTGGCCGGCTCGACCGGAGTGATGACCACGGCCTCACAGAAGACCGACGTGAAACAACGTTGTGTTGTGTTTCGTCGTGAGTGAGGTTACCGGATGCCCAATTACCCCCTCCCCCTTCCTTTCCCCAATCCCTGAATCCCCAACAATCCTCAAATTCCTAATCCCATAAGGCCGGTAACTCGTTTCTGTAGTCTGCCCGTTTACCGGCTTATTCCACAAAAAAAAATTTGCACTGTAGTTATTATTCAATAATATAAAGTTAGATTGTTACTTCTAAATAGCCAATATTTCCTCCCCACTTTCCCCTGTCAGGGGACATCCTATCATATATTTTCACACAACTATTGGAACAATATTGTTTTGAAAGAGGAAGCATACATAGCTATGTATGTTAGTCTTTTCTTTGTTTTTTGTTTGAGACGTAGCTACGTCTTACAATCAAATAAAATGCTAAAATCATTTGAAAGATTTATTTTTTAACTTTATGAAGATAATAAGTACTGAACAAACTTACCCCTGTGGTTGTAACTGGATTTGGTTGAATTTAAATGCGTTCTTCTTTATCTTCACAACATTCTTTCGTCATCCAATTATGTAGAAACGACATACATTACCTTTACCATAATAACCTTACCTTACCTCTTGTATATTTATACATTTAAAACTTATTTATTTAGATTCCAATACCAAAATCAGTGATTCACACACTAGTGACGTACGCCAAACAGCTCTACTTAGTTTTAAGGCATGTTATATCAGGGAGGAAGACATGGGGATACATGACATACTTACCCAACCTTCAAAAAGTGGGAAAAACAAATCAAATGAAACTAGGAGTTAACTCGGACACTGTGTCAAGATTTATTACAAATCCATCATACACAGCAGTCTGAGCGATAAGGTCTTATGCTAACTTAAGGTCTATCGTCGTCCTTGAAGACCATGGTACTGTGGCACTTGCCGCAGTAGTGACGGTCCTCCATCACGGCCATGAACACACCAGCGCCGCACTGCTCGCCCGTGCACTCTCGCCTCAAACGGTGGATCTTGCCGTTCTCGTCAACCTGGGAAATACAGAGAATTTTGTCCTTAGTCATTGTGTGAAATTAAAAATGAACTGTTACTGATTAATCAAGTACAGCCGAAACTTCGGAGCGGAGTGAGTTACAATAAATGCATTATGTTCCTAGGAGAGTTTAGAGGAATAATATAGGGAAAATACTGTGTGTGATAAAAAACGCTGCCCCAAGGTAAATCTTTTACAATAAACACTGCGAATGTCGAACTGCGCGTTGATCTAAATTCTGTCAATCTCGCAAGCGTGTTTTGTTATGCAGAACGTAAACTGTTGCATCATGGATCGCAACACAAACAACGCATTGTTTAACCGGTTCCCACCGTCACGCTGTCCACCCAGCGTGATTCACACACAAGTCCCAACAGGTCTGCCTACCCCTGAGTCATTTCAAAATACAAACAAATCAATAGGCCTCAAGTCGCGACCTGTCTCGAGTATTCCACTCTCGTAACCCTTTTATTGCATTCCCAGGAGTTGTTTGAAATTCTTTTTTTATTTACTGACATGCTAAGTAACCCGCGTTTTCCTTGTATTGTGGCGAACACGTTTGTGCGTGTTCGAGAATAACTCGTGAGTTATCAATGGAATACTTGAGATGCTAATGGGAAATATTTGATTGAGTCATTTCAAGTGTTGTGGAAAAAGACAACTTTCTGTTTGTTATGACGCGCAGACGCAAATTAGTCAATGTAATTAAATTCTGATTTATCACATGATCATCTTCTTGAATTCATGATTAATTATTCATGTAAGGACAAACATTTCTTGACTAACAAAAAACGAAGACTCATTAGCGCAATTATGTTCATGTTGTATCGTAGCAGTGGCCGCTATCTCTATGTATAATTTATTATGACGTGAACTCACATCTCCATTATTACCTGCCTTGAACTTTACTGAAGAGTTTGTTTGTTTGAACATGCTAATCTCTGAAATTACTGATCCGATTTGAATATCTTTAGTAATATTATAAATTGGAAAGTGAGTTTGTTTGTTTGTTCCGCTTTCACGCCGTAACTACTCAACCGATTGCTTTGAATTTTTGCAGACGTAAAGTTAGAAGTTTGGATTAAATAATATGGTACTTTTTATCCCGGAAAAATTATATTACTGAGGGAAAACAAAAGTACTGGTATAGATGGCGCTGTGTGTATTAGTATATTATGACACATAGGCTACCTTTTTGTGACGCGAGCGAAGCCGCGGGTAAAAGCTAGTAGGCTATAAAACATCACCCTACGATCAACAGAAGCCGAGTAGAGCGGGTGGAACCCCGCGGAAGTAGCTAATATAGGATAACGGCGCGAGTCCTTGTGATTACGTATGTTTGTGTTGTTATGTAAGTTGCAAGCTCACCTTGTAGAACCGAAGTACGGCTAGCTTGACCTTCTTCTTCTTGTGCTTGATCTTCTTGGGAGTAGAGTAATTCTTCTTCTTGCGCTTCTTGGCACCACCACGCAGGCGGAGCACCAAGTGGAGCGTGGACTCCTTCTGGATGTTGTAGTCTGAGAGGGTGCGGCCATCTTCCAGCTGTTTACCGGCGAAGATCAATCTGGGAATAGCAAAATTATTGGTGTTCAATGCTAAAATCTCGAAAATTGGGAACTTGAGAATTTTGATGGAAAAATAATTGAAGTTTCATCTACATACTTCCAAATAGGTTGACAACTGAATGACAAATTTTTGTTTAACAACTGTATAATTACAGCAATCTATGAACCCAACATAGGTATGTGTACAGTAGGTGGCGTGGTACATAGAAATTAATAGTCATTATCTCCAATCATCGGTATATCTACAAAATAAATATGTAGCATGATACTATTTTGTGCGCTTTATTTTTTTGAACTTTAGATTTTTGCATGAACTGATCTAACACAATAGGTTCACCACCTGGTCACATGGGGCTTGTAACATAACTGGCAGAGTAGATATTAATTAACACCTTTGGCCCTCCCTTCGAGGAGTAAAATTGGTATAGAAACTCACCTCTGCTGGTCTGGAGGGATTCCCTCCTTATCCTGGATCTTGGCTTTCACATTCTCGATGGTATCAGAGGGCTCGACCTCAAGAGTGATGGTCTTACCCGTGAGGGTTTTGACGAAAATCTGCATCTTGGCTCACCTGTGCACAAAGGAAAAGAGACCTTATGAGTTACTTTCCTACTGTACCACAAAATACCTAATAAATAAGTAGAAATGCAGTAAATATTTAATCGATAAGTAAAATGATTAGTTCAGAATATTATAAAATGATACTAGCCTCAAACTTGACCGCGATCTGTCGCGGGAAGTTCAAGGACGAAATACACGTAGGAAACAAGTTCCGATGTGCACTGATTGTGCGCGGACACTACGCAATATGTAGCATACACTAAACTGCACAAAGTGATACAGTGAAATCAGTAAATAACAGCAATAGACAAGTATGGACCAGATTATACACAGTTCATATAAATAGTCCACAGGTAATTACTCATGTACTCAGTTCAATATAGACTTGCAAGTGTACAGTATTAAAGTTCGGCTAATCAAATGCAATCATGTTGTGTGAAGCTCTAAGACCTAGAATGGGTAAGTAAAACAAAAACATTGTATTTTACAGTATATATTTATTGACCGGCCAAGATAGTACAATAAATTATATCTGTAACATTATAATCATTCTCTTGGAATTGTAGATTCAAATCAAAGACACATTAGCATTTAAAGTTTCAATCAGCTTTTACAGCCGAGTAGTTGTCAGGTGGTAAAATTTAACAATAATATTAAACTAAGAGTACAGCATTGATGCAGCCATCATTCTCTGGGTTGTTGGTAACTTGTGCATATTTTCCCCACACAACTTTACCAGCCTGTGTCACTAGACCAAGTTCGGAAATGTTGATTTCAATAACAGTACCCTTTGTTATCACTCCCAGACTTGTGTACATTTGTGAGCTAGGGTTCTTCTTTACCCCGATTATTGGTAAACAGAATGTTGCTTTCAATTCAGGATGTGTGACATGAGCTTTCTTGAACCGAAGTGCCATAGGTCTGATGAATCTCTCAAACTTAGGAGGTTTACGTGTAAAGTTTTCTCCTACAAATGTGACTTTAGTGACCATACGTTTCCATGCTTTTCTTTTGGTCTTTCCTGACTTAAGTACTTTGAATACTTCTGCGTCAGCCTGTGCCCTGACTTTGGGTATAGGTACATCCCATTTTCCAGCCTTTTCTTTACGTTTCTGTTTGATCATGTTGGACAGTACCTTAGCCCGGGACTGGACATCTCTGTCCAGAAGGTACACAGGCAGTGCACCCTCAGCCACCTTCTCAGTGTTCTGTTTGACATTCTTTTCCTCATGTGCTTTGATTTTCTTTTTCATCTGAATCTTTTCATTGCGGCGCTCCTTGTTATAGATCTTGGCCTTGATACCGCGCAGCTTGCGAGCCTTCTCAGCACGCTTGTGAGGCTCACGCGCCTCGCGTTTTCTTTTCCGCTCTTCATAATCGAGCCTCCTACCGTATAGCTTTTGGTGGCGTTCGATATATTCGTTCTGCGGCATTGTGGTTGCTTATTCGGCAACTACAACAAAATTATCAAAATCAAAAGGTTTCTTCACAAACCTAACCTCTTCGATACTTGTTTTCACTATGTTTCGGGCACGGGAACTTAATTTGCGCAAACTTTAACCAAATTAATGGTTAATTGCGGTACTGGTGCTATAAACTAGCACCAGTCTTTATAATTCCACCTCAATACTTCAATCCAACACCGATACACACGTGCTTGTATATTACCACGATTAATCTCACTTTACGACAAAAAACAACTTAATACTATTTCTTTCAAATAATTATTTAATAGTAATACGTACACGTTCTTTAGAATCACAATCGAATCTAATATTGCGCAGTAAATTGAAATTTATTTCACAAGATTGACAAACTCACCTTACGCCGACACCATGCCACATGGAAAAGGAAACGAAGTTGTTTGTGGGGACTGGTATTGACAGCAGACAAAAAGTTACTATTATACTACCAAAAAAAAGAGTAGACACAAAGGGCTTATACTACGTTCTTTGTTACGGGTTACGGTATTTTGCCGTCTAAAATTTTCTGACGCATTGCCTTTTTAGCTTTGGAATATTACTTACCTAAAAGAAAAAAATACACATAGTTTATGGTATTGTTTTAATGTTATATTGTTATATGTCAGCGGCTTCGATTCGCTCGCGTTATTGTGGCATAAAAAGTAGCATATGTTAGTACTTATGAAAAGAGCGTATTCCTTTTTAAAAGGCCGGCAACGCAGCTGTGACTCCTCTGGTGTTGCGGGTGTCCATGGGCGACGCTGATCGCTTACCATCAGGTGATCCGTCTGCTCGTTTGCCTCCTATTCCATAAAAAAAACTGTGAAATAATTTCCGTACCGACTAACGTAATCTACGCCTGTTACAAATTTCATCCCGATCCCTTTAGAGGCTTTGACGTAAAGGAGTAACAAACAAACAATCATACAAACTTTTGCATTGATAAGTAATGTAATACATACAAGAGAAATAAGAAGTAAATGATAAAGCTGGCTGATGTTCTATGAAACAAAACAAAAAAGCAAAACTGTAGGTAGACTAGTACCTAATGCGATGCCTATTAAAAAAAAATTGGAGAATTTGCTTCTACCTCAGCTTCTTTCGCTTACCCGCGGGATAAAAGTACCTTATGTGGTATACCAGAGCATAATGTATGACTGTTCCAAACTTCCCGATCCCTTCAAAAATTTTGAAGTGATTGAGTAACAAACATACACAAAAACTCACATACTTTCGGATTTATAATATTAGTAAGATAAGATGTGGAAGAAATGTATGCTGAGCAATAAAAACGGTTTCAATGGTATGATATTTGAATGTAATAGACGGGTAAGAAATGTCAAAAAATTACAGCATTTTCGACTACTGGTTGACGTGACCAAATTAGTTTGAATATATTATAAAGGCACATAATACGTACTAACACAACTATTTTTAAAATACCTAATTTACTGAACGAGCACGCCAAAATTAAATGAGGTGGCATGTGATGTGACGTTACTCATTTTTAGACTGGCAACATTTAGCTTAAGTAATAATAGTAGCAAACTTTCCTAGCGCGTAACGAAGTTGTTTTAACCATTAATAAATCTTATTTTTAGGAAACGCCAGACTATCTGGCTTAAATTTGTGTTATGAAAACATTAAAGCATTACTGAGGAACAAAATTAAAACTATTCGGTAAACAACCGAACGCCATACAGGCTTACTATAATGAACACAACAGCAACCTTCTCTTCAGGTGAGTGTTGATTATGAATGTCAATTCACGGAAAATCATTGACTTCAGTGTGTGAAAATTGCAAATTAAGGATAAAATATGATTGCCAAGTGTATGTATCGTGTACTACATATCTTAATTAGTTACTAGGGAATATTATCATGAAATGGGAGGAGGTTTTTAACCGGCATCAGTGTATTTGGACTTCATTCATAGGCATTGTGCGTACATGTCAAATATCATTAACATTCCAAATGAGGTTAAACTTCTGTTTGAACGTAGGTTCGTAGTAAAAAAGTTCCGTCAACTTCTGACCAAGGTGGTTTGGTTTGATGATAACGAATTTTGTTGTATTGTGTGATAGATTGATAAAAAACCGTTGGTGATCCTTGTCCGCAGTTGGATTTGCGATAAATTGTTGATAAATTATTTGATTGTAAAAGAGCGGGAAGTTATGAATTTTTAAATGTTGTTATTTTAATGCTGTGATAAAAACAAGAATTTATTGTTATATAATGCCAACAATATGGATTATTATGCATCTTATCATGATTATTAAGCTATCTCAATATTTATTCAGTATTTATCACTTGATAAATTGCTGTACCATGCAGCCTTTTACTTGAAATATAAATTTAATTTGAAGAAAGATGATAAGAATGAAAATCTAATTGCTGAAATACCTATTTGCTCGAAAAACCGATTCATACTTATTATACTCAATTTATATTTACTTCACAATTACAAGCATATAATGTTAAATACTTTTAATTTTTTAAGGTCAATTTGAATATTATATTATTTTATTATGATAAAATAAAAATAAAACATTTCTAAAATTTTTAATTTTCATACCTCACTTAGTTAATGTCAAAACAATAAGAAGCATTTACTAAGTCCACCTTATGAAATTGTATAAAACTTATAAACAAAAGACATTACATAGTACAGTGGCATATTGAGCACCACTGCCTACCCCTTCGGGGATAAAAGGTGTGATGTTATGTTTTGTTTAGATAAATGAATAATTGCATTGTAGCGTACACAGTAAATAGCTATATAAATATGTCCTGTTGTTTGTTCCTTCCCTTTGTATATAAACAAAGAAATAATCTGCAACATATTACAGGGCATGAACTTGCTTGCTTTATCTTACATAGGTAGTATTTTATGTTACTGCTTTCACTTTTCAGGCTCATTGAGATGGCTTTTATCTTCTGTCTATAAATAAACCAATAAACCACTAGTCCTTTTATTCCATTGAGGACCATGAAATGATAAATGATGTTTATTTTGCAAATAGGATGCAAAAAAGGACTTGTAATATTTGAACATTAAAATAAAACTAAATGAGTTCTACATTTCCTACCTGATTATTCTAAGAAGAAACAGCAAACCAGAGTCCCTGTCTTTTATAATCAATGCAGCAGTAAAAAATTAAAAGTGTGCATGTTTATTCTGTGGTAGTCTAATGAAGAAAAAAGCACAATGTTTAAGTGAATCTATTCTCATGGATTCTTATTAAACGGTTTTATTTCTTGGAAGATATGATGACATTATGATTATACAGACATACCACTACACCTAGAACTATTATACAACTTTTAATAAGACTCCTTTTGTGATATGAATAGACTTGTATTGTAACTTTCGTGAGACATATTAAATAAATTATTATGTTTTCGGCTTACTCATGTAATAATTTGACGAGGAACTCGACTAGTTTCAAGCCATGCGAGAGGCTCATATTCATGAGCAGCATTTCGCGTCGCGGGTAAACTTTTCCTAGACATTTTCGAGAAATGAAACAAAGGTAACTTTGCCAGACATGTTAAGTTTGGCACCGGAGTTAATTGTAAAATAAAAACCTTGCAGATCATTCATGGAGCAGACGGTGTTCTACAGAAACTGTGTTCAGCATACAAGGGAAGGAAACCGGTAAGTTTTGACACTGCAGCTGGTACAGTCCACTGAACATTTATGGAAACAAATAAAATAATGCACTAACTTGTACAATTTTAGCAGTTAAATATATCTTACTTATAGATCTCCTTTTAATTTAACATGGATTATTATGGTTACATTTAATTTTCTGATTGGTGTTTCTTGTTTTCACAACTTATACAGATATTTTTGATATTATTAAATAGAATTGACCATTAGGCTATTAATTCCTCGAAACAAAAAAATATATTGTGTACTTACATAGTTACGTCTACATTCCAGCCAATAAAAAATATGGTATGGAAAGGCAAAAGCATGTTCCAATCAGATTGCTCGAGAAGTCTTTAAAATCAGAATTTGAATTACAGATCATTGGTAAAGTTCATCATTTAAGTTTTGTATTAATGATAAATTGAAAAAGGTGAAAATGCCAGTATGAGTGGTAATCTGGGCTCATTAAAAAAAAAATACTTATTTTTGATAATAGTGTTTTTTTTAAAGAAGGGTCTGCCTAAGAAGCGCGATTATAATAATTCTTGTCTAGGCTTCTTTATCTATCTTCTTAATATCATGTTACCATAAATGTTCCGTTGAGTGTACTACAAAAAAAATCATAATTTTGTTGTCTTGCGACTGTTCCAGTTTTTTGTTGTTGTGCATGTTTTTATTAATCTATTGTGTTTTGTTTATTTATCTATTTGTAATTAGATATTTGTGTAGTTATTTGTTATGCATAGTTTAGATATTATATTTTATGTATGTAAGTCTTTGTTTGTAATCTTGTGGTATTCATCACTTTCACCTACTATCATTGTGTATTTTCAAAATACACAATGATAGTAGGTGAAAGTGTAATTGTAATAGTGTAGGTGAATATGTATTTTTAATATTTTTTAAGTAATTAGATTCGTATTCATATTTTAAATTTCTTAATCTGTACCATTCTTGTTAGGTCCTATGTCAGGGAAGACGAACCTTTACACATTAGCATGCCAATTACTTTGAAGAAAATTGTTTTTCGGTTTTATGTGTGCCATCGACTGATTATTACTATTTACTGTCAATCTGTAGCAATAAAGTATACAGTTGGTGTGGTAAACTGTCACCGTAGTATGACTACACCTGAAAATATTTAAAACATCATAAATGCGTTGTAGGTCATTCATTAGTTTTGTAGTCACAGTCGTGCCCAAAATGTTGTGTTCCGTGCCATTATCGGCACGCGTGCCAATGGTTCGCCATCCCTGTCCTATGTGCTGACATAAGTATGTAAAACTGTAGTTAATGAATCCTTTTTATCAACGGCTTCTTTCTTGACAGATACTAAAATAAATGCCGCTAGTACTTCATTCGTAACTTGTGCTATGGTCTCTACTTTAATCTATTTTAAATTAAATCTAACATCTAAATCCCTTTGATTATGGTTCGACAATGTAATATGTTTACATTACTTACTCTGCCCCCTGCTTTGAAGAAAAACAGGTGTGACGATATCTTTGTGTTTATACATTTCATGTTCCATGTTCAAGTCTAAACTTGTACGAAACACTCATTTTTAATCTATGACAACAGATTATAAAGATTATAGCTGCCCCTTTCTTTTCTTTGCAATTGAACAAAGAAGAACAACTTTTTATTTTTGGAGAATCGACGTCCAATCATCTAATTAGGCGGCAATAAGCGCATTTATCGCGAAATTGTGATAAATGTATTTTTGCGGTATTTTTATCACTATTCCGTTGTAAAATACAGATACTGAAACACGTTACAAGTGTTTTACTTTTTTTATCGTTTATGTAGAAATAAGTATGTTAAAATATTCCCCTTGCAATAGGGGGCGTAGCTTAATGAATCAACCACATACGTATAATTTTACCTACAGTCTACAGTCCAACTTGTCTGTTAGTATTGCTACCTATATTTTACTAAACAGGAAAATTTAGTTATTCTAAAACAGTGTGATAGCAATAAGCTAGCCCCTATTTCCCGGACCTCAAGTAAAACATCTTGGGAAGGTTATTTTACATTTAATACGCATACCTATGTCCATCCTATGTCACCTATGTAGGTAATCATGTACTTCGAACCTTCCTTCAATGGTGTCTGTCAAGTCTATCGGTGACAGGCCATTGTTCTACCCCTATTTATCACACAATAGGATTCCTAGCTTAAGGTACAATACAGTTATCTACACTACTAGACATTACATTCTTATATTAAATACTTAAGTTGTCTCTGTCTTCTATCTATCACGTTCGCTTCGTATCACCCACGCATTTAAGTCGTGTTTTGATGCTTTGGCATATTTAGGAAAAAAACTGTGACACAGTATTGCATATCTTCTAGTAGGCCCAAATTACTGTGTAGTAGCTACAGGCTCAGCTTAAGCGTTATTTTTTTAACGCTTTTGGGTAGAATATTCAAAAATGAAATCAGTATGTTGATTAAAAGGCCCTGCTCTCTATATGACATTTTGGATTGACTTTCTCAAGGTTTTCCTTCACTGAGATATTATGGCAGATTGATATTTGATCAGAGTTCTTCCTAAACAGTGATTAGATTAGTGATACCTATCCATGGAAAATATTGTTCAAATACCAAATGTCACATCTGATAAAGGAATACTCTTATACTTAAGTTTATTCAAAGTGCAGTGCAGGGCTTGTATGCAACATAGTTTTTTATTTTCAAAACAGGGTCCTTCTAAGGATATATTTCTGTATTGTATATATTGTACACTCTATATAAAAATCAAGCATAAGCAGTTTTTCAGAAAAGCATATTTTTCTTGTTTATCTTAAATCCTATGAGAGATATTTTTTTGAGCATTTTTTTTAAATATTTCATCTAATAAGTAAACAGTCATAAAATCACCACATTTTATTCACTGGAATGGTAAGCAGATATAAATAATAAGTACCGACGTACAAATGCGTGTCTGACACCCGTCCAAAAATATTTACTTCACGCTTCACGCTTCTTTCTCACCGCGTCATCGTCAGGCAGCATTCAGTGACCTACCACCGCGACTTGTTCGAACATGTCCAACTAACGATAATTTTGGAAAACAAATATTTTTATCAAAATTATTAAAATTAATTACTTCAAACCAACACACCTGTTTTTCCCCTTCGGTATCGATTGGTGTTATCGCAAATAATCTTTTGTTTTTATCTCTAATCGTAGCCTATATAAATGGCGATTTTATGATAACGGTTGTCATTTGTGTCAGCTTCATTATGAATAGGACGTTTTCATTTTTTTTTTTATATTTTATTCCAATTTCAAGTCAAGACAGGTATTTTATAGGCGGTTAAGAGTTTAGGCCACTTTCTACTAACATATTTTACATATTTTTTGCTTAATATTTTATTTAAGTATACATTTAACTATTCTAAAATAATCTCTAAAACTATATTTCTTATAATTATTTTTATTTTTAAATTATGTAGAAGCAGGATGAAGAGTAGTTCCTGTGTAAGTATGAACGATTAAAAAGATAGTCGTGAGCACTACCCAGTACAGTACATAAGGTGTAACAGAATTAGTGCGAAATCTTGCTGGTACTGGCCCAGGACATGAGACTGAACAACGTTTGTTATAGCACCTTGTGAACTCAAAAATAAATGTTTTCTACATAGAAATTATTTTCACAAGTCAACTGTTTTTTCCTCAATTTCCAATTGTGTTAAAACAAAAGTTGTTTAATTTTAATCTGATCCAAGTATCTGCAGTTATGCGTTTATTCTGTTACACCATTTATGAAACACGGAGAGTTGAATTCCAACCTAACCATCAGGCAACAGCGCATCAACCTACACTTTAAAAGCTTCAAGCTAATTTCGACCTTAGTACCATAGAAATAAGGTTGAAAATCGATTGAAGGAATTGATACATGAGGGTACTTTGATAAGCTGCCGTCCGGTCATGTAATAAAGTATGTACATAAGTACATACCTACATATAAGTAGTCATTCCACAAGTCGAAGTTTATCTAAAATGACGTCCTCAAGAGGATCTTGAGCCGATGTTGTAAGAAGTATTTGCATATTAATAAACATGAGTATTTTTTGATACGAGTACTTTGAATACAACCTACTCATTAATTATACTTATTGAGATTTAATAGCCAGCACTATTTATAAAATACCTTTAAAAATGTGCTTATGGAGTATGAATTTTAACTGCTGACGTTTAGTCCGAACTGTCATTAAGAAACAAACGATAGAAAGTAATAATCGGTAGAAATCAACCCAACATATCCCAATACTACGCTGGAATCTATAATTCGGACTTTATGATAAAATGTCTTCAATTTTAATTATCATAGAACATTCAAATCGTCTAATAAACCTATTATACTGTCTATGGTAGACACAATGAACTCGCACAGTATACTAATGCAAGACTATATATAAACTTCCTGACCTAATTCAACAAGAACAATGAATAATATCCTGCGATACATCCTGACTAATTATAACAATAAACCTTTTCTAATAATAGACGAAACCCTGTATACTAAGGGGGAACTCCCCTACCGTTTATTTCCGTATAAACAGACAACAAAAGCCCTTACAAATACAACATGTTTGTACCATTAGTCAATAGTTAGTACCCTACTTGCACGAACAAGTCTAAACTTGTATCTAGCATTACTAATTTTGAGTTTCAAACCCAGATGCGAGAATAACATCATTTTAATTGTCTATCTCTAAAAATAGTGACGGAAGTGCATTCCTTGTTAAAGAGACTGGCCAGGCATTGACCTGGTCGTTTTTTAGACCCGTTCACCTAGGTTTTGGTCTTTTTAGTTGATTGTTAGAGCTTATTTTGTGATATAATATCTGCATAGAAAAAAAGGTCTTTCTGGATGTGTGCAAATAATGACAATGATCCGTTCTACGGATCTTTAAAATATTAATTTGACATCTGTTGAAGCAGCTGCAAATGATTTATAAAAAACTAATAAAAGTTATAGCTTTTATAACTGGAATAAAAAAGCAGTCATTTAAATAAAAAATAAAAATGAAGTTGATTAGAACAGGTGGAATAATATTTAAAATATAGACATCTTAATTAAAGTCGACAAAAAAACTAATGGGTTATTACCATAAGATACAAAGGAACAATATTCCTACCTCTGATAGACAAACAATCAGTGGATACTTGATTTTAACAAGAACTGTAAATAGTCACCGAGACGTCGCGTCGTGACATAAACGTCACGTTTTTCCAAAGTGAGCGGCAAATATGGTGGTGTACCAAAAACTGCAATGTCAACGTCCTTGTTCTATGCAACGACAAGTTTGAACAAGACTGTAAACTTGAAATGAGTCAGACTGTCCGTCCGTGGGCTGTGTTACGTCACCGCATGCATAGTAATCTACATTGATATCCTTATCTAACCATCATTTATTCTAAATGCAAGTTTTCCATGATAATCATGGCTTACTGTTAGCTCTGCGACTTCTTCTTGAGGCTAGGTACTTCAGTCAGTTCATAACATAATAACAATGAAATTATACAAAACAATATACAGAGATGCCTGGTCATCAAGCATCAAATTATGTGATTGCAAAATAATAAGATCGAAACTCTTCAGATAGAAGCAGCTAAACATGTTGCTGTTTTTACTTTTTGGTCAATTACCAGAAGTATATAAGTTTATTCTGTGGTGGAGGGATCAAGAAGGTTTTAAGACAATATTTCAGACATATTCATGGCTCTACTCCCATTATTTGAAACCTAGCAATTCCCACCCATGGACCTATATAATATTTCATAATATCTTAGAGGTTCGATCCCTCTATTTGAAGAAAGGAGTGACTTGATACTAAGAATTTAACATAATTATGCATAGCATAGAGGTGTAATATAAGATGACACTGTTCGACACCCGACTTACAACGCATTTTATCTGCATGTGAAACTTGAATGAGAGTATGTCATTATTAACACCACAATGATAATTACAATGTTTCAAAATACAGTTAAAAGTTATTTAGAAAACTAATTAAGAAGTACTTAAAGTGCTAAAGTGTTACTCAATATCAACAAAATTTTAATGTGTCTTGTACTTTTGCAAAAAAAACTTTTTACCCCTCTACATACACTTTCAAGATGATATTTTTGGTTTATTTTATGGAAAGACAAATGTTTTTTGTCTTTTCTAAAAATAGAATGGCCCTTTAAATAGCTGAGAAGCTGATATGCCATAGTTTCTAGTATTATGGTGTTGAGTAGTATTTATTAGTAATATTAACATGTTAATGGTGGTTGTCAGATGTGTCTGAACTGCAACTGGTGGACCCAGCAGCCATGCCCGGGGTAGTCACCGGATCCAGTGGACCCGAAGACATGACTGATGATCATTATGCGATGTCACACCAGACTACACTAAAATTAACTTACTTTAACTGTTTCTGACTTGCAATGTTCAATATGACGAGATGTAATTGGAATACATTGAGACTCCCAAGTGCAAGTGTTCACAAACGTGTGAGGAAGGTCGATTGATCTCTTAACCGACTTTTTCAAAGGAGGTTCTTTATTCGATGACTTTTGCGTCTGTGAATACTTAGTGCACTCGGCCACTTGTTTGGCGAAGTAATGTCAACATCGCCAAACTTGTGACACAGAATCCTGTAATGTACACGTCTGATGTCACCGTAATTTAATCATCATCTTATTTTATACTTCTCTTACAATATTCTGTTAGTATTTGTTTACTATCTGTAATTATGAACATATTTCAAATTCAGGTTCTCCATTCGCTCATAACAACATTTATTTTAGTTGTTCATTCTCAAAACATTAGCTTGGATGATGCGAGTTATTTAAAAACAGGATAATTAGCTTTGATGGTGGAGGAAAATATTAAGGAAACTCGTGATGTGGTCGGTAACGCCCAGTACATGGAAATAACTAATGCTACGTCGAGTGGAGGGCTTCACACAACTTGTTACTCGAGTGCTGTACTTCAAAACAATGGCAGACACTTGAACAAACATTTGTTTTCTTCAAAGTAAATATCACGCGATGATGCGCAGTTTAATGGCGCATGCTTCCACCTTAAGCCAAAATGAGACTTAACTTGTATGTGCTAAATGCTTAATTGACTTTATAACAAGCCAATATAGCACCATGGCTGTCGATTCTTCTCTATATTTACCCTTTCTTGCTAAATTCGCGAGGTAAGTATCAATATGAAAAAAGTTTGATCATTGCACGCCCATAAATGCATCCCTATGTGACAACCCTAATTTGAAATATGTTTTTGTGTGATTGTACTATTGATTTTAGTGTAATTGTAGTATTTAAATTATTAATATGGTTGTGGTAATCAGTAGGAAAAATGTCTGAATATTTGCAACGTTATAGATTTCTAGGAAATTTGAAATATGACTTATTAGTGGTTGTCAGATTTCACATGATTGTTAAATGCTTTAGTCACGCTTGACGCGTTCATACTTGTATCATGGATGATGGCAATTATGTGTGAAATTTCTCATGTATACTTACTCAGTGCTTTGCCTACAAGAACAGACTATCTTATCACCTGATCCCCAGCTATTCTTCGATGTATTTGAACAATCAGCTTGGACTTACCAAAATTTATACTGCCTGCTTCGGTCATGTATACTATCATGATTTATCAGAATTTTTCTACTCTTATCACAGCCATATCTGCATGTATTTTAGTGTGAAAGTGTGTAGATTAAACTATGTATGTGGATATGTTTAAATTGGCAATCAAAAAATGACAAAACAAAACAAACACTAAAAAAACAATGAGAAAGACAAGATCGAAAAAATAAAAATAAGGCACAGACAGACATTAACACTAATCTAAAAAAAAAATAACATGGTAAAAAGAGAATTTACTGGAAAAGTAGAGAGACCAAAAAAAAAGGTTGAGAATAAAAAAAAAGTTTGGGGAAAGAATGGGATTTGAAGAGAACAGTTACAGGCCCAGGTAGCCAGCCATGGCGGGACGGTGCAAGGTTTGATGGCTGCACGGCAGTAGTTGTACAGAGGCTGAACAGTATGTGTGTTGTAGATATTGCGCGCGATACGAGCGATACGGAAGCGGCGGATAGCGATGCGACCGACGCTAGTGATGTGGAGTACGAGCCGGTGACGGAGCCCGAGGACGACGGCCCCGTCGACGACGATGATACTTCTGCCAACAGCGACGTAAGTCACATTTATTACATCCCTGGATCAATGGCTGAATTTAACATTGACGCCTGAATACTGAAATACTACTAAATTTTAAGTTGTACCTGAATATCGTGCTGTCTTTGTTATTTTATAAATAATTTTTAATGACAACTATTTTTGAGTGTGCCATAAAATGGAGTGGCGTTTGATTCATAACTAATATTAATAATTAATCCAGAATTTTGGTAGAAACACCACGCAACTAATATGCGTGGTGTTTCTACCAAAATTCTGGATTAATTACTGGATTCTGGAACAATAAGGTTATTAATTTCGGCCATAAGTGGATCGCAGAAGGACTTTCAGAAGACCAGTTTCAATACCCTACCTATCTTGATTTGTTTACTACATTACTGTTAATTAAATTCTATCTAATTTTGATATAAGCTCCGTATGAAATTTGTCTAAGTAATATCTCTAGAAAGTAATGCTAAAACTGCGAATGCACGTCTGGAATGAGAGTCAAACTAGCTTGTGTTTTAGAAAAGTTAGCATACTAGCCATATTATCACAATATCGCATGGGAATAGCTTCATACAATAAACTTGCTAAACGACTATACTGATTGTGTGCAAAGTTTTGGAGTTTGGCTACAGAGAAGTGAATGAAGTTGTTTGAAATCTGGACGAAATGTTAATAAAGAATAAAGAAACGATACATATTGTTCAAGTAAAGCCCACCAATCAAGGGTTGGCGAACCTTTCCGTACCGACGTGGTATTTTTGTAAAGATTCTTTATTGTATAGAGGTTATAAATGTGCTATACAATATCTTTGACTATTTATACTAGCAACAAAGCTTAGGAGCCCTTGCTGTCTGATGGCAGTAGTATCGGACCCCAAGTATAGCAAAAGTAATGAAATATAAATATTTTATACTAGCTACTTCCGCGCGGTTTCACACGCTCTGCTCGGCTCCTATTGGTCGTATCGTGGTGTTTTATAACCTATAGCCATCCCCGAAAAATGCGCTATCCAACACAAAAAGAATTATTAAAATCAGACTTGTAGTTACGGAGATTAGCGCGTTCAAACAAACAAAGAAAAAAACAAACTCTTCCGCTTTATATAATAGTATAAGATAAGATTAGTATTATGGTATGAATTACTGTAAAAATTGTTCTATTCTCGATATTTTATATTATATTATATTGCTTTTATATTTAGTTTAATATTGAATGTAAATGTTTCAGAACGACATAATAGCGACAAAGGTGATCGAGGTGTCGGTGGGCGACGATGGCGAGCTTCAGTTCGCGGACTCGGAGCGCACGGACTCGCACGAGAGTGACAGCGACATTGATCTGTACGACTACTGGAACTGTGCGCAGTGTCGCGCCGAGAACAACAACCCTCTCTATAGATACTGCCATAAATGCTTCCAGGTAATTTAATTGTGTTATTGTCTAAAAACTGCTTTTAGGTAAGTTTAGGTAGATTTGCAATAAGGACTCTTTGCTCATCAGATAAATAAATCTTTACTCATAACAATGGCCAATAGAATTAGCTAGTGTCACCCCATTTGCCATTCAATTTTGATAACTATAGTGATTAGAGAAATAAACGTTCCTCCATACATAATAGCGCCATCTGCTGGTCAAAAACCGGTAGCCCCATTGAACAAAGTACATAGTACCAAGTCCGACAATTTGAAACTGTTTTTTTTTCAAATGCGGTTTTCTACAGCGGACATTTTTCTTGCTACGCAGAAAGTGATCGATGCTAAGGAAGTAGCAAATAGCACGTTATCATTACTGCCTTCCGCCATGAGACAAAGATGAATAAGTTCTAACTGAGTTGATAAACATTACAGGTTCGGAAAAACTTCTTCCCGCCGAGACCGAAACGCAAACGGAACAGGCTAACGGACACGGACAAAACTGATGAGATTCCGCGCACACTGTCACAGGACTCCGGAGTGGACTCGCCCATGAGCCAGGAGGTGGACGTGCCCACCAGCCAGGAGGTGGACCCCAACTTCGGTGAGGGCACGTCTGGTAACGCTAAATCCGACCTTAGCATAGCTCGTAGGTACCGTAAGCGCCGCGCCGAGTCTGCCGACCGACGTACCAAACGCAAACGTTTATCGCGAACTGATTCTGACACAGATCTTGATTCGGACGACGATAGCCAAATAAAAATCGACGTGCGACCACTCGTTAAAACTGTTAGCGATCCCGCGATCACCATTGATGATAAACTTCCCGTAAAGATCACTAAAAAAGTGATAGCGAACACTTTGATGGACAAATTGGAGGATCCTAAGAACTTGTGTATGATTTGTATATCGGAGCCCAAGTCCGGGGTGTTCGTGCACGGGCGGATAGCGCACATCTGTTGCTGTTATAAGTGCGCCGTCAAGGTGTGGGCCAAGGCCAAGCGGTGCCCCGTCTGTAACTGTAAGGTCAGCAATGTGCTGAAGGCGGTGGTCATGTAGGCGTCTTGATGACCTCTGGACGATCACTCACAAACAACTCCCATTATATTAGGTCCCTATACCAATTCATTTCGTGTGCAATGTTCTTGTTGATTATTAATTACCCCAAAAATGAGCTCTACTTACGAATTAGGAATAACAAAATTCAAATTATATTATTTATATGTTTCTTATCGTCCACATAGGTCGCTAGTTAGGATTTGGAGTTGACATAAGGCCGGGAATTACTTTGTAAGTTGAAGGCTGAGTGAATGGAAGAATGAGACAATGGTGGTCAATTTCAGGTGAGTATGGAATGGTGTGAATGAATGAGTTATGTTGTTTGTACATAATGGCTGATGGTGGCCTTATTTGTATATTTTAATATTAAAATATGATATCGGAATTTGTGATATTATACTATTGTCATGCAAAACTAAAAAATGTTACTATTCAATTAATAGATGCTTAGTTATTCCGGTTTTATTCCTGGCTAATATAACTGGAAAATTTCTTGATATGATTTTGGTGCATCTGTCAGTTTTACTGCACCATAATATTAATATGTCGTTGGTGCAATTCACATAAATGTTTTGAAGTCTCTTGTGCAACTGCCAAGCACCTTGTGTGTTAGACCATAGGGAATTATATTGTGTGACATGTGTATGTATTTAGGAAAAATAAATGATATTATTAATTGTTAAGATGTGGTCAACAAGTCATTATGTGTGGACATCATCGATGTGATTGAATGTATGTTGTAAAACGACGCCAATTAGATGTAAGTCTTCTATATACGGTAGAGATTTCTTTAAATACAAACGTACTAGCTACTTCCGCGCTCACTAATCGTAGCGTGATGTTTTATAGCCTTTTCAAATCTGACCAGTAGTTCCTGAAATTAAGTCGTTGAAACAAACAAAACTCTTCAGCTTCATATTATAAGTTTAGTTTTATTAATTTTTTTTTTTATAAAAAGAAGTCTGTAATTTGATATCTATCATTTTATTGGTTTTCAGTGTAATAATAATGTATCACTTGTTCAATACAGATTAGATTGAGAACTTCTAGTCTCACTCTATTTTCAAATTGTAGCAATTAAAAACTGGCGCCATGTATATAAATTATCTGAAAGAGGTTAACATTTTTAAGTGTAATTAAAACCAGACCCACATATCTCCTACTTAATTATCGGATTATTTGCAAAAATGCCAATTAAAATGTAGTCTAGACATTTTTCACTGTAGATAATTAGTCTGTAAACTGTGTCCCACTACTGGACAGACAGATTTTCGTACATGGTAAAGGAATGAATGTATCAACATTCACTCAAGCCAGATCGACGATTTCGGACCTAAAGTTTCCACGTCCATGTTTCCTCGAGCGTTGCGTGGTTATTTAAGCCACCAAACATCCATAGCTTAACATATGCCTTCTAGATAACCCTTAAATGTTACTATAAAACTGTAAATACAAACTTCAGTTTATGTTCGTGTATTACAGCTGGAATTGGACCTCCTTAAAATATTTTCCAATGAAAAAATCTTACATAAGTTTACAAAAAGATTCTTAAATTTAAAGAAATCTCTATCTTTTATAATTTTCGAGCTATCAATTAATGCCCTTAACTCTTTGTGATAACAATCTGATAATGTAGGATCGTAAGTAGAAAGTAGATAAGAAAATCACGGCAAACTTAGTTATAGTATATTAACTATATATTAAAATTCATGTTCTACATACATTAATAGCGAAACTGTTAACATGGAGTTAACTACCAGACCCCTTTCTTTGAAACATTATCAAATTTAGAATTTGTCTTATGTAATTATCATTATGATAAAGTTCATTTCAGTTAGATATTTCGCCAAGACACAGTGGTGCCGCTGCCAATCGCCGCTACCAATAAAATGTAAACAGCTCTATAGAGATTTGGTGTCCGCTTGGTTGAACAACCAGTATGGCGGTGCGACTAGGTCGGACGGCAACACAAAATTTGACTGGTCGCGCCACTACTAATTACTATAGCCCCTTATGGTGTGTCATTCACTCAGCCACCTGTCCGAGGTTCATTTGGATATGGTCAGTGGGTTGTACCGACTAGTTTGGTAGCTTGCGGACACCATGGCGGCGAAAATGGTTATGCAACCAAGTAGACACCAGGTGGGCTACTCTCACTATGACTATAGAGTTATATACATTGTGTTGGTAGCAGTTATTGGTTGTACCGCTGTGGTGTTGCGGTAAAATATAGCCCTTAGGTACCCGAAGGTATGTTAGTCTGTCGGTCACACAAAGTTAAATTACAAGCAATATGTACTCCATTACAATTCCTGTTTACATTACATGGGGATTACATATAAGTAGACTAGGTCTTCCAATCTGTAAATAGGTAAAAATACCTCATTTACCAAGCTATTAATGTGTGGAACATGTCCTATGTATAAAAGTGTTAGTCTCCGCTCCAGTTATGTAAATACTATTTGTAAAGAGGTAGAGACGTCAACCACCGAAACAGAAATATTAATATATTTTCATTTTAGTTAGGGATCTTCTAAAATTATAAACAGTATCGGCTATATTCGTGTTAATGCCAAAAAGAAACATTTTTGATGATTATTGTAAAATTTTTAAATTTAGGTTTTGTTTCTGACTTATGTTGGAACACTTCATGTGTGTAGTTTTTAGAAAACGATTAAAAATGTGAGGTAATCATGAAGTGTTTAGGCTATAATTCTTCGAACGTGGTGGAACGTAAATAATGCGTGTTACATTGCGTTGTACGTGTCAGAATCATATATTATTAAATTAATTCATGGTAAAATGTTTACACACCCGTAAAACTGTTAAAATTTATTTTCAATGGGAATGTAATACACAATTTGGTTACCAATGTACAATATTCATTTGTATCCTTATAGACAATTATTTAGTGGACTTTTTATTCACCGTCGCGCTTTTCCTGAGTAATTGTTGCTTCTCCCATTGTGTTAGTGGTTAAAAGGTGTATATTTCAAGTATATTTCATTACTGTATATTTATTCTATGTTTAGTCTGACAATTCTAAGTCAGAATTTTCGCGACTTCGCTGTTTATAACTTGCAACATTTAGCTTAGGGTAATCTAGATTTATTGATATTCAATTTTATACCTACTTACGTGTAATTATATGATTGATCTTTTAAAATCTAACCCACCATCCCTCCTACCGGACAGAGGATATTTCTTGTTACACAGTTAAAGATTTATTTCAAAATAAAAAGATATTAGTTATTATTATTATTAAATTGTAGATCTCCTATTATTTTGTACAGAATCTAGATTACGATTTTTTGTTTAAGTTTCCAAACATGTAATTACTTATTCACTTAAAAAAAATGAAAAAAATATACGGTATCGAAAAAGATTATTCGATATAACAAGAAAAAAAGAATTAATAATAAAACTTTTTTTTTTCAGCAATTTTGACTTTTTTTGATATATTTCCCTACTCCCTTGTATCTTGTTAATTTTATAATAGTAATTAGAAATATTCTATGCAACTAAAGGTTTTACAGTAGTCAAACACTACTATCAAAAGAATGAAATCTTCTACAAGTAAAAAATGTCAATGGATAAAATGTAGAACTGCAAATGTTTTATTCATGTTTCATGTCTTCATAGGCCTTGCACGACAGGCAATTGAGGCAATTCAAAGAAAAATCAATTTTGGTGGCACACTTATAATAAGACTACGATTTTTACTCACTAGATGGCACTAAAGTAGTGGTAGGCCTTCTTGTAGTGCACAAGTAAACCTCAAGCTACTTTAGCGCCATCTGGTTACCAAAAGAGTGATAGCTCATGCCTTAGTAACAAGCGCCATCTAATGAACACGCGATATAAACTTATAAACCATCGAATTTAAAAATATTTCTCAGATATTTTTTGATAGCTTCTAGTTCCGGTTGACTCAAGCAAACATTCATGTTTAGTGAGAAGATATGAAATCTAAGATTTTCTACTGATAACGAACGTCACCTATTGGCGCGTTGATATCTAAAGGTTATCAACCTTAAATATATAGCACGTTTTATGACTAACCTGCTTATCCCAAAATGGCAGTGACAATAGAGTTCTTATCATCATTACGTGCCATACACGTAGGTATTTATTTTCTATTAATGATTGCTTTGTTCCTAATAATATAAGCTGTTACAATTATCTATTGTTTTTAAATTAATATAAAAAGCCCTCAATTTCCGGCTGTTTGCTGGGTATGTCATCATGTTTAGTGTCACTACCGACTTTAAAAAAAAAAACGCTGCCCTACACTACGATATTTCCTATATCGTGTAGGCGCGTTTACAAACTCAAATTCACATACATTCAGACTCGGAATAACGATTTGTGAATCATACAAAGACAAAGAGTGGCCTCATCTTGGGTATCAGGAGCAATTCCCTAACTAAGAAAGATACTTCTGGATTTATTGATAAGTGTATCAATAGCTAGTGAACTTCTGTCCGCGGCTTCGCTTACGTTCCCGTTTTGACCTGATTGAGTGTCAAATATACTTTGCCTTCGCATTTTTAATATTAATTATGTATAGTTCCATTTACAGAATACTAATAAACTGAATAATACTATTTATATAAATATTACTAACTAGCTTCTGCCAGCAGCTTCGCCCGCGGTCCCAGGGGTAAAATGCCTATGTATCACTTCAGACCATAATCTACATCTGTTCCGAATTTTATTCCGGTCCCTTCACTCGTTTTAATATGACTGAGTAACAAACATACACATAAACTCGCATATTTTCATTTATAATATCGAGTCAAGCTAATTTCAACCATTGGCCTTTCAGTTACAGCGTAAAGTCTATGAATGAGTATTGTAAACGTTAGAGTAGACAAATACAATCAGAAATCACCGAATTGCTAAGCTATCTGGAGTTTCACGTGTTATTGTGAGTCAACCATAAAAGATAGACATATGCTGTCGAGGAATATTTTTTATATAATTTTAAGGAGAATATT